TTTATACTCTCAGTGTGAAACTCCACTGCAGCTTTTAAGTGCCTCCTGCACTGCCTATACCTTTTACCTTTATGGCCTTCAGATCCATTATTTTATAGTGTTTCATGTCATCACGTACTGTATTTTATTTGTGCTTGTTTTAGTATCATCAGTTTATTTTTCTTTTACATATATTGCACTTTTATCTTGTTCTTATAAAGCTTGAAAAGTACTTTATTTTCATAATCTCAATACCAATGTATTGCAATCAAATAAATCCATGCAAACTTTGCTTCCACCTTAGTTGTCTTTTTATTTAGTGCAGTACGTGTATGCATGATGGGTAAATAATAAATAATAATAAATCTGTTGAATGCATTTTGTCTGCCTGGGATGGAGTGAGGCTCGTCCTAAGTTTAAAAAGTTAAGTTGTTCACTTACCACTGTGACTGAACAACTGAAAGTGTGTTGCCACTGTGCAGTCTGAATGTGTTGCTAAGGCAACAGCTAGATCCCTGTGAGTTTACTGTTGGGCTGCTGTAGATTCATTTTTGTGTTGTACTAATGTTGTTCTGTTCACTGGTTTTAAAGTCCATCTTTCTTGCATATACCATAAAAGAGGGACAATGTAACTCATTTGACATTAATACCCTTTTATTGTTGCTGTATTACTTCACTACATTTAGTCTTAATTTAGTTGATTGTTTTTTTGATTTGTAACTACTTTTTCCAATTACATTTTCACAGTTAAATTTAAAAAAAAAAAAAAATCCAATTGCAATTTTCTGCCTTAAACACTTATTTGAAGTGTGTATTTAGCTTAAATTGCTGCAGAGTAGTGGAGCTGCACACACAGTGAGAGCAGGTGATCAAATGTTGTAGTGACTGCTACAGACATACTCACAGGACACATTTTGACTTGTCATACTAATAATGCAAATAATATCAGTAACAGTAGCTCACAGGGGTAGCTAATGTGAAAAGTTCAAGTCAAAATATCTAGTGTGAGTAACACCAAGAGCGGAGACAGAGAGAGAAATAATTTGAGCCATTGTAAACACATAGAGGCCACTCATGTAGGCGTAACAGATGGTCTGGAACAAAAGATTTGCTAACAAGCTAATGCACTCTGGGAGAAGGTTAGCATAAAAATCCTATACACTATGCAAAAACATGTGAGCTAACTCCGGGGAAGGTAGATTAAACACCTCAGTGCAGCACCGTCTGCAGCACTGTGTATGTATTTCCAGAGCAAGTTGTCTCTCGGGTCTGCAGAAAGAGATCAGTTTGATCAGTTTCAAAGCACTGTGTGTTCTGCATACCTGCAACACGTTACAGTATCTCAGACACACACCACGGCTCACACTAGGCTGACACACGTGATTCAATATGTCGGGTAGCCAATGGGTACTGATAGTACTCTTTCTGTCTTTCCTCTGTGAATGATTTTCTCATTTTGCTTCGATAGATTGACCCACCTTTACCTTATTTTCTGCTCTAATCTGCCAAAAAAATTGCTTTAAGATTGAAGCTATCTTTCTGCAGTGAGACCTGATAGACATTTTCGTCCCTTATTGTTAATGCTTCAGATGTGAGTTCTACTTTTATTTAAACCGAGTAACCTTCAATTGCTCAATGGGGTCTGGATTGGTTATTTAAAACGTTGTTTGTTAAAAAATGTTTGTCTTCTTTTCTGTTAAATCGTCTATTTTGACTTTTTTTTTCTCTCATAACTAAGCTTTCACTTAAATGGGAAATAAAGATGTAGTTGAAGACAATTGAATATATGAAAATAAACAAATCTGAAGTAAAACTGTAGTACCAATTAAATGTCATATAACAATGGATGACATGTTGAGAGGCAGTGGGAGGTAGGGGGAGATTCAAAGCAGCATAGCAATATGGTAACCAGTTTTGGTTACCAGGCAACAGCTGTTTGGCCACCTTTTGTCAGTGGACCGGGGGCTGGGTTGTCTTCATTCATAAGCTAAGCGGTCACATGAAGTGCAGAGTGACTCATGTCAAAGACCTAGGCAGATATATTCAACTACACACAGAACCAAAATACACCTCAAAATCATTTCTGATTGTTTTCTGCGCTGCACTAAATGAAAAAACAAACAGAATTTCCCCTCAAATTGAAGCACAGTGGTGCACAACCTTTATTCTATTTTTTACGCGGACTACCAAGAGCAAGCTGCCCAAAAATATCAGTAACAACATGCAGTTATTCATCCCCTACCCATGTGTGCTGAGAGGTTTCAGTGTAATGAGACACCTATCATTAGGAACATAAAAACATGAGAAAAACAGGGCCTTATGTAAAAAAAAAAAAAAAAAATAGATCTCTTTCCCCTTCAAAACAGCCCCCTTCGGGAGACAAATCCTATCCACCTACAACCCCCCTGCCTGCATTACACACTCTCACATGCTCATACACACAAACACACCCTTTAACTTAATACCCTTATGGAGATATTTACCTAGGAAAAATGAAGCGTATCTCTAATTAGACAGAAAAAAGTCCATTAATAAAGCAACAGAGACACAGACAATTCAAATTCTGTAGAGAATGGATAAAGATTTCAGAGGACAAATGATAAAACATTGGGTGGCAGGAGGGGAGGTATTGGAGATGAAATGTGGGACAGATTTACTGTTAAGATGTAAGACCTCAATTTACCCACAAACATCTTCTTCATCTTACAGCAGTATTATGTTGTATTTATTGTATGAATTACAATGGCATTATAATCACACAAGGACACTTCACACACACTAACCCAAATCTTATTACTTTTAAACACTGGTTGTAAACACAGGTGATGGATCTGAATAGATGTCATCCAAATGGCCGTACTACATTAACACAGGAAAAAGGACTTAAAAGTCAGACCCACAGTTTTATTATTGAGTGATTTTAAGTGAGTTTTTGGTTAAGGTCTACAAGCAGCTACAATTGAGGACACTATGTTCATACACTGGACTTATTGGGGGATTTTTACAACCTGAGGAGTTCATGTTCAACAATCATAGTGACATGTTACACAGAGTGAGTTTTTAAGGCAGATTTTAATCATCTTTACAGTTAATATCTTTAAATCTGACTCTTAGAGGGAGAGGGAGAGAGAGAGAGAGAGAGAGAGAGAGAGAGAGAGAGAGAGAGAGAGAGACAGCGCTTCACAAAGGAAATGAAGCTTGTTGCGCGCTCTTCTTACCTCTGTCAACACCACACAACAAATTGAGGGGGGGAGAGTAAAAACAAGAGCCCCACACCTTAAGACTGTAAAGTGACATTTACTTACTGCTTTTAATTACTGCTTATTTCAAATTTTAGTGGAGAATCAGAAAAGTCATCAGTCATCATCTTTAATTCAAAATTGACTGCCTTCAAATAGCCTTTACATAGGTATTAACATAACATAACACACCTGACTGCACACTTTCTGCAAAGCCATCCATGTATTTTGTAAATTAACAAATCAAAAGGAGCAGTGTGTAGGATTTAGTGACATCTAGCGGTTTAGCTGCAGATCGCAACTCCCTCGCTTCACCCTCCCTTTCCAAGCACAAAGGAGAAACCCAGTTAATATCTTTAAATCTGACTTTTTTATAAAGTAAAATATATCCTAGTCAACTTTATTTAGGAGGAAAATTTAACTAAGAAACGGTTCTACATTTACAAGACACAGCCTAAACTTTACTTTACTGTTTCCCAGAGGCCCAAGCTCATAAATGTTTCATCAGTCAGCATAACATTAGTATTACAATTGAGGGATACGTTCATTAAAATGTTCATTTTTATAGAACTAAATCTAAGTTAATTATCTGTTGTATATCACAAACCTTTCTTTTAAAAGATTAAGAAACTTTAATTAAGATTTTTTAAGGTAATTTCTTAGGTTGATGGGCTTATAATGGTAAAAAGAATATAAACATGTATATGTTAGGGAGATGGGACACCAATATGGTAGATAAAACAAAAACTAGAACAACTATGAAATGGTCCGAGGTATCCATCCCATACATTAGAGATTCATGGCACTAGAAAACTAGTCTTGTATGAGACCTATAGATTGCTGTGAGTTTAATTTATTAGTTACAAAAGCAGGTGAAACTGAAGTCACATCACAAATTGGACACTCTCAGGATCTGTCGGAATCCAGTGAAAACATTTCCGCTAAGAACAAGAGCAGCCTGACTCGACCCATATTCCTCTGTAGTGGACTTATCAAGTAACAATGCAGAAATGTAGAAGAAATCTTCTGAGTCAGCTAAGAGGTTTCCAAAAGGGGGGAAAAAAAGAGGGGCTAGAGAAACACCAACTGAGAGGTGAGAGACTCTTTTCACTTTGGGTGAGATGTGCTATTACTGAATTGTATTCTAGTTATCTGTAGTGCACTCCGAACATCTCCCAGCACTTAACAATTTTAATGATAGTGCTGCAAGGTCTGAAAATTATAGAAGCTGGGTGAAAAACATTCCATCTTCTCCATCCTCTGTTGAGTTAATTTGGTTTTAACTATGGTGGAGCAGTTATTTATCTATAATTCCCCTGTCGCTCTCTAACACATCACATGCTGAAGCACCCCTGCGCTGCTCCACCCCACCCTTTCAGCTCACGAGGCACTGATGCAGAGAGCAGTGGTCAATCAGTAAGCTGGCTGAATGTGTGTGTGTGTGTGTGTGTATTAAAGGAAAGGCGGTCTTCATCACAGTTCATTTTTTTTTACACCTGTGGCTGAAAACTGAGTACAAAGAGAATGACTGAGAGGAGGGGGAAAAGTGTGATAGACAGAACAAAAGTAAATAGGGTGCATTACAGGTAAAAAGGGAACGAGAGAAAGACAGTAGGGGAGAGTGGGAGAGATGAAGAACATTACAGAGGCTGCATGAAAGAAACAATATTCAATATTTGAATGTCAAAAACTGTGGAGAACAAACGAGCACAGACATAAAAACAGGAGCAAAGAGGGAAAAAGTTGCAGTGTAGGAAACAGAAACAAGTCTGACACAGTACGTTAATAAATAAATGTTTAATTTAGAGCTAAATGCACATAAATCACCTGACATAACAGAAATGCTTCATATAAAACAAAATCAATTTGCAGTTTTGTAAACTAAAAAATTGATAAAAACCCACAATATCAGTGCAAAATAGGAAAAAAGTCAAATGATCTGGATATACATTTACAGTACGTTTTACAAATTTATATAAGGCTGTTTGAAGTTGTAAACGTATAAACGTATATTCCTATGGTGGCTTTTTCAATGTTTTTAAGCCACAAATGACTTGAAAACCTGTTTAACAGAATGAATAAAAAAAGAAAATCAAGATAGTCATAATCTTTGGGCCTGCCATCACATTAATGGTCCCAGCATACAAATATTTAAGAGTCGAAGCAATTTACATCAATTTACATGTTTGAAATGTACATATAGTTAAATAAACCTTCTTAAAAGAATGCAATTAAAATGTTTTTGATGGAAACAAATAAAAAGCACCATATAGGTAGTAGACATGTCTGAATGAATAAAAAACATAAACTGGACACCATTTGAGGCTATTAAAACACACAAATGACTGATTAAAAAGAAAAGAAAATCAACCTGCATAGATTAGTCCAAATACAGTCTCCTCCAAGCATACAAAACACCAAGAGGTAGCTCTCTTGCTCTATCCAGTAGCTACAAACAAAAGTTTTATAATCTTGATTTGCATATTAGTAACAGAGAATCCAGGTCCTGTTTGTCACTGTCTCACATGTATCTGTTCTTGACGTACTCCCTGTACATCAACATGTCGTCCCTGCAGAGAACCCTCACCTGGCCCTGACCTGTCATCACATGGCTCTCGAACTCATCGCGGCTGTCTCTGTCGACCTGCGGAGGCAAAGCGGCGTAGATGCTGTCCTCAGGGAAGCAGGACACTGGCTCTCTGACATGGACGGGACAAAGAGAAAGAGGAGAAAAAGACAGATGGGCGCAAGCATGTATCAAATAATGGATGTATGGAAGAACTAATATTAGACAAATCACTTGGTGGTAGAAAAACAAGCCATGACATTTAGATTTCCTATCAGGGAAACGTGGTTTCTATCTATAGTTGTCACGAGATGGTTAAAAAAAATGCATTATGGCCTAGAAAAATGTTTGAATCCAACCAATCTGGGGAAAATCTGCCGGAGAGTGCGGGTCATTAAGAGGACTGTTAATGGAAACAACACGAGGATGGCCACGCAGAATTACTCATAGTTTCATGGAAACTAGACTACAAAGCATGTCTCATCATCTTAAGAGTAGATTATCAACTGCATGCTTGTCAGGGCAACCACTCAGTCAGCTAGTTCAACAGCAGCTGAGGCCCCGGTAAGAGGCTGCTCAGACACATGGCTGCATTACCAGTGCACCTCCTTGGTTATCTGCTGTGGCAAGAAAAAAACCCAAAAACAATTATGTACTTGAGTGTCATCATGGAGTCCTCAACTACGGGTTTAATGTAATTTAAAGCTCCACTCACAAGCAGATGTATACCGATATATCCGAGCACCCAACTTGAAACAGAAAGATCTCGTTTGTTGGTGCTTTTGCTTTCAGGCTGAAGTCCCGTTTTTATCCAAAAGTAGCACACATTTCTATTTAAAGAATTGGTTTACCATGATAAACTACTGGTGATGCTAATTTAACCAGAGCAGAAGAAGAGGGGTTTCAAGCAAAGTTTTTTCATATTACAGTTAAACAGTACACTAAAATATATTTCTGAAAACATCTGAAGCTAGAAATGCAGCAACAGTTTAATTCATATATGATGTCTAGTTAGATGGTTTCATCTGAGTTTCGTGAGCAATCACCAAACAGCACCCATAGAGAGTCAACTGGCAGACTTTTGCCAGCAAATCAGCGGGGAGCTCTGGGTGCAGCAAACGTGATCATTTGTACAACTGTACTTTTTCATATACTGCCCACATTGTAAGGATACAAAGCCGGTTGAAAATAGGCCTGCTGGTGAGTAGTGCATTCAGTGTACAGCACATGTAAGACAGGACAATACATTTTAAAAAGTGTCCTGAGATAACTTCTGTTATGATTTGGCGCTACACAAATAAAATTGAATTGAATTAATACACAAAATATGAAGAAACGAGGGTGCAGTTTTGGCAATATTCCCCTTTTTTATATACACCTAGAATGTCAAATGTGCATTTGGATTTGAAGTAACACACTACGCTTCAGTAAAATGGTCTGTGGGTCATGCTATGTTGTCAGTTAAACAGACAAGTCTTGTTTAATTGAACAATTTGTGTTCCGTCTGTTTCCTTGTTGTGACTCTCGTTACACAGCTGACATCCCAGCGGCTCTTAAAGATAATCGTTACAGCCTGCTGACATGTCAAGAGATGTGAAATGTAGAGTAAAACAGTGGATCCACCAGCGTGAAAAAAGTGTGGAAATGGATGTGAAATATAGATTGGAGAATAGTGTGTCAGCTACATTTTACATTTTGTTAATTACAGAAAAGCAGAAAATCTCACTGTGCATTTAAGCTGAATCTCCAAATTATTAAACATTTAAAAGAGTATTTATGAATTTTACTGCCAGTTTAAAGGTGATCATAATTACGAAACAGCTTGAATAAAACATCTGATCTATGTGTAACACCTTAATTACACATGAACACTTTAAAGAAGGTAACAGATCTTTTTTAGTCCTAACTCCATTATTCTGGACCTGTGACTTAAAAGCTAATCATAATTTAAGGAGGAAACAAATCACCACACCGCTCTGATGCTTCTCAACAGGAATCCGCCATAGTATTCATATCCTGTCTGCTTTTATCTCTACCAATTGAGTCAGCTTTGCCTAAGCCTGGTGGGTCAATAGAGGAACTACACAGAGGGAGGTGACTGACCAAAGGGCTCCTAACAGTGCAAACATGTTTTGGGTGCTGTAACAGTGTCTTAGAATAGATCGGTTGCACAACAAGAGACACGCCTGCCGGACCCAGTGGACCTGACGTGGGGATAACAACAATGGATGGAAAGATTAATGAATGGTCAGAGTGAAGAAAGGTGAAGATATAGGTGGGCGAGGGGAGATGCAAACTGAACTAACATGAAAAGACGTCAATGTTCCATGCTGAGTGACGTTGCTGAACTTTCAACCGTGCTAAAAAAGAAATGGTATTTCGGTTGACATGTATGTACAAAAAAGAAAGTCACATGTTCAAAGAGAGCCACAAAGAGCCATGTGTTCACTCTGAAAAGATTACAGAATGCTTTCAAAAGATAGTCAGAGGCTAGAAAACGCATCTGAGACATTTCATTCAGCCTCCAATCTTCCTTCAAGTCACCAATTTCCATCTTATTATCATTATAAGCACAAGTAATCCATGTGCCTGCCAGATCTGGGCTGCATCACTGTCTGACAGCCACAACATTTGGTGCACATATCCATTTTTTTTTATTTGTCCTTTGGTTCATAACCAAATTCCTGCAAAAATGACATGATATTCCCATCAGCTTTCAGCTGTACTTGAGCACAGTGCTCATTAGCAAATGTTAACATGATAACATGGTATGAACATGGTAAATGTAAGCATGTTAGAATGCTTATGTTAGCATTTAGCTCAAAGCACTGCTGTGCCTATAAAAATGGCTCAATCTAAGGTTATGAAAACACGATTCTTATTTCCAGGCGATTATACTCTATATATTAAACATACCTATGAACATTATATTCAATTTCTGTCAATAGAGCCCCGTAAATCTTACACACTTTCCTTAACCCTTTTTTTTTTCCAGTTTCACATGATATCCAACATGTCTTCCTCTGAATAGAGACCCAGGCTCCATCTGGCTTTCTATGAAATGTTTGGCCATGACAAAACTTCAAACTCATGGTCCTCTTACAAAGCTGGTTAACAGGGAAGTGTTGTACAAGTATTGTACAAACAGAAATCTCATCACCTGCTCTCTCGCTCTCGCTCGCTCTCTCTCTCTCAGCAGAGTGCAACAAATATAAAGAAAAACACTACCACGTGGATATATTTTTGTCCTCTCTGCTTCTGTACAGGTATAATTTCACCAATTTCTATTTATGTTCCATACAGCTGTGATGCACATAGGTAGACCTCACAGTCCATCTGGCTACCTGGATGTATTTTTAGAGCAAAGGAAAAAAACAAGCCCTCCTGTTTCCTCTCGTGCCTCTGCTGCCTCGAGGCTCTTTCGCCTTCAAACATCTCACATCTTCAGTGGGGTTGAAAGGGTTATTTTCCATCAATGGGGGGTGATATATTTGGGAAGACCACTGCGCTGAGTGAATGGTACACTATTCTTGTGCAGAGTAGTGTTCCATTAAAATGACAAAACTATACAAACATTTTACTTTCTATATTTTTGAACTCAGGCCACTCATTTGCTTTCTAGTAGAGAGTGAGATAAGTAGATTGATACAAGTTAGCTGGAGCATCATATTTACGGTACAGACATGACAGCTGTTAATCTTCTCATCTAATTCTTAACAAGAAAAAAAATAACCGCATTTCCTAAAATGTCAAAATACGCCTGTAAAATGTTTGAATATCTAAAATTGCATATGCAAATGTGAAGTTGCCCTTTACTTTGATGCTATAACTGTAAAAAATGTTGCCTGTTGTATGCTTGTGCATACAGTATAAAAGCATATTCATGTAAGTGTTTAATAAAAAAGAAGCAAGTAGCATTAGAATAATTAAAAGAGGTTGATAAAAAGTAAACATGAGCTGCCATTGCATCTCAACATTATTTCCTCTCTGATATGATTAAATAAAAACACTGGAGCCCGTTTAGAGTCCCAGTGTTGAAGCATTAGAAAACATGCAGTACACGTGAGAGAGAGCGATTAACAAAGGGCAAGAGCAAAAGAAAGAATTCAGAAGAATACATATTTCATTGAGTCATTGAGATGCTGTCTTTGAGTGTGTGTGTGTGTGTGTGTGTGTGAGAGAGCTGGAGTTAGAAAGAAAGAGTGCAAGAGGGAAACTGCATATGCATCTGCTTATGGCTGCACATTGTCATCCCACGTGTGGTTGAATTTTGAGTCTGGATGAAGAAACAAAATACTTCTCTATGACCTGCTGGGTCATGGCCGCAGTGATCAGGAAGGTGAAGGAGTGTAATGACTAAAGAAATTGGTTACTAAAGATGAAGATTAAAGTGCACACAGCTAGAAGTCTCCCTGGAGACCACTTAGTGCGAGCAACTGTGTTCACTTGTCCCAAGGCTACTGGAAATGCTGAGCGGTGTTTAAAAGGGTTGGATTATAACTTCAAACCAATATTACAATGCAATGCTTCTCATTACACGTGAGTGAGGATTACTGAGTTTGGGTACATATGTTTTTGTTTTTTCTGTGTGTGTGTGTTGGGGGTTAATGTGTCACATGTTTTACTCACAAGCAGATGATGTGCGCCAGGTTGATGCGTTCGGTTCTTTCCACCCTGTGCTGGCTCTCGCCCAGATGTGCAAACCTGCAGGAAAAAAAAACCCACACACAAAATGAAAAAGACAAATATTCCTGCAAAATACGCCACAGGTCTACAGTATATAAACACACTGAACACATTTGTCTCTGCTACATGCTCCTTCCATCTTCATCATGCGAAGAGCCATTTACAAAAGGTAATTGGGTAACAGGGTAACTGATCTCTAAAGGACCCTTTAAATTTCATGTTCATATTGTCAATTTTTTAATACAAATACTATAATAGAGAAGAGATAAACACATCTGTTAAGAACTCCAATGCTCAGAGCACATCATCATCAAATCTCAAATTTCCCCGTAGGTTATTTTTCTCTCGCAAAGACACAATAATATGCACTAGTTGAGAGTTCCCCTCTGGCTGTTGCTTATGATTTTTAATATTAATGCACTGATTAGCAGAGCTCAGGCTGGAGCTAACATCTCTGGAGCCATTCCAACTTCCAGCCTCAATAATGAATGCAGTTTCATTCTCATTATGTGCCACTACAGTAGGATGATATGAACAACATTCTTCATTACTATTTGGATTAAAAAAAAAAAAGTCAATCCCTCCTCTTCAATCACCCTCAAAACTGTGTCTGTCATCAAAGTCAGAAATACAAATCTGAGAAATAAAAAAAGTAAATGTTAGTTCCACAGTACTTAAAAGTGTCCAGTATCAACACAGGACTGGATAATGTCAATTGTAAAACAATGCCTTATCAGAAACAGCGATTATTTCTAAAAGGCCCAAAGTACTACTCGCCACTGGCCAAATATGAGTAAAAATATATTCACCGCCAGTGGAGGGCAGCTGAAATAGGCTTTCTTCACTACAAACTCTCATCACTACAACGCATAAGTTGATTGAACCATGTTTTGTGTTGCATCAACTCTACACATTGGTGCAACGTATTCTGGGGTTTATTATATACCCCCGCTTGACACAGCCGCTACAGTTATCTAGCGAGCTCGCTGGTAACATTTCTCTGTGGTAAGAAGGGTTTCACACAACTCTGCTGTGAAGAACGCTGGAGGACACTGTATTGACACTGTATGAACTTTTTTGTGACTGCAACAACGTGCTGGCTCTTCTCTCACACAGGAGAGACTCACTTCCCACAACAAACCCACTAGATAACGTCACATACACGTTACCCACAAGGCCACCTTTGCTCCTTATATTTTAGGTAATACTCAGTGCAGAAAAATGTCCCGTGTGACTTATACTGTTGTAGCGTTAGATTGTTATTACTCATGTATGTAAAAGTAGGATTTTACTGTTGTAGCTGGTTTGGTTGGAGCAAATATTTAACTCTCTCGACTGCAACGAATAATCATTTTCATTATGGATTAATCTGCTGATTATTTCCTCCATTAATCAATTGATTGTTTGGTTTGTAGCCCAAAGTAACACCATCACAATGCTTGTTTGTTCTCAATCCAGAAGTACAAACCTCCAATGTTAACTTACTAATTATAATTAATATACTGTATAATAATATAAAGTGCAATCTACATTCGGTACTTATCGCTTTAAACACCATACACTGTAATAATAACTGAGCATAGTGTGAGAAAAAAGGCTATTAAAGCTCCATGAAAAGCATCACACTGTGTCAAATGTAGATAGTTGTGTTCAGTCTGACGACAGCTGTTCAGTGTAGCTCATCAACGTGGTTGGGAGGAAACAAGGACAACATGAACTAGAAAGGACAGACAGAAAATGAAACTCAGGGGTGAAGGGAGAAAGAGGTGGACCAAGAACAGTGAGGTCAGAAGTGTGATGCACACAGCAGGGCAGAGTTGACAATGGTCCTTTTGCAAAATGACCCATATCACCCTGAGGGGGCTGCTGACAATGACTGCTTGCTCCTTGCCTCTTTGTCTTGGGCACTGGGTGCATTGTCCACAACAATAAAAATAAAGACTTTTCCTCAGGACCACTTAAATGGGCAGAGAAAGAGGACAGAAAATAAGGCTGGAGGTCTTCAGTTTCCAGGCGTTTGCTTCAACATGGCACCAAAAAACATGCTAGCTACACAGTATACTGAGAGTTGAAGGCCAAACAAACAAACAGAGGCTGGTAGGTATGAGACAAAAACATTTACCCAGAGTTGTGTGTGTGTTACTATCTCAGCATCCATCCATCATTCATTTTTTTAGCAATATGTAGCCCATACAGTACATGGGTGTGGTGTGGATCTCAACAACTATTGGACTGCCATGAAATTTGGTCCAGGCATCCATGTCCCCCTCAGAATGAATTGTAATTACTTTGTGTGATCCTTTGACTATTTAAGCACCATCATCAGGTCAAATTCTCTTTTGTCCAATGCAATATACTATACTGCTACTACTACTAGATTTCTGACAAAGTACATGCAAAAGTAAAGAAATTCTCTTTAGTGTAGTACTGTACTATTGTGTTTAATACCAATTAGCAAATTAGAGAATTTCAGCGCACAGAGCTGCAAGCATGGCAGTAGACTCGTAGTATTACATCATGTGTCTTATTAATCACTACTGCCACTGTTTTGCATGTCATTTTAGTACTTTATCTATGAGAACTAAATAAATGCAGACAGTTATTACTACATTAGTTATAGTATTAACTTAAATATCCTGACTTAAAAGATTGTAAAAACCCCATATACTGTGACTAATCATTTCACAATGTGTGCATTAATTGTAATCTCAAGCAGTGCATGTATGCATGTTTGTGCAAGCCTTGTGTCCATCACCTTTCATAAATGAGCTGGTCTTCCTCAGCAGGAAACTCAGCCAGATTGAGTCCATAGGGCTCCTTAACTGACTGCTGCTGCTGCTGCTGGATCTCCTGGAGAGGTGAGAAGTGAACAGCATGAAGCTACAAGTACATGTGACAGGGACAGAAAAACACAAAGGTTTTGACAAAAAAGGATTGTTAAAGATAATACAGAGAGATAAAAGGTAAAGCTACATGCTAAGAGCCAGGTCCTTCAAACTGCAAATCAAGGAGCTGCAACTCAATATAAAAATCATACAGACAAGGTCATCAGGTTCAGTGGCTTCTCCACAACTGATTCCTTAATAAAGGACGGCCCAAGAAGCGTAACCTAAGCAACAATGAATGTAATGTGATTGTTGGTGTCTGATGAGGTGGCTTCATGTTCAGGGACAGTGCCCTCCTGGGGTTCTTGCAGACAGCGTCCGAAATTATTTTGACATTATTTTGTCCCAAAAAAAAGACATGATAATCATAACAAACAAGAGACCAGTTTAAGAAGGTCAGACCAGTTCAGGCTGATTCTCAAAAGCTTAATATAAAAAGTTGAACATAAATAGAAGCAAAAACAAGTTGGAAAATAATTAAATTATAACCAAGGCCATTGATCATGTAGGTATACTCCGGTAAGAACAATGTTTAAAAAAAAACAAAAAACTATTGCATTATTGCACGATATATATATAACAAGAGATTAATATGGTTTAATCACCTAAAACTGTTACAAAATGAAATAAAACAATTGCAGAGGAGAATAATTATAAATCATTTCGCAATGCTATGATAACAGCAAGTAAAAAGAAAAACAATATATATTTCCTCATTAGGACCTGCTATGATTTATGTCAAGCTTTTCAGTTTCTTAGAAAACAAGTAATTAAGCCACATTAAGCCCAGTTTATAGAAAATATTTCAGAATTTTTTATTTTAATAAAGGTTCTTAATTTCAAGGCTTTCTGTTAAGCACAAGGCTGACAGCTCAGTGCAACAATGCTGTACAAAAAGAACTTACTGAACACAACTTGTTGAATCGTGGAACAAACAGCAGTCTGCCGCAGCAGAGTGAGGCTAATAACATTACTGTTAGCAAAGGATAAGACTATAAAGCTAAAGTGGACACGTGCTCACCAAAACCAGACGAGGGAAGAGTGAGAAAACGTTGTCTGATCTGATTAATCTCAGTTTCTATGTTCACATGCTGGTGTTGGGGTGGGAATTTCATGTAAACAGCATGAATCCATCTTGCCTTGTGTCGTGGTGAGAGATTGCGGGGTTGTTGGTTGTGACTGTTTTCTTGGCAAATTACATAGGACCATTTTATAACAACTGAGCATGAACTGAATACTGCATGTACACTGGGGAAATATATAAAAAAAATATTTTGTAATATGGTTAATATCATAAAATTACTAAAAATGTATTTGAGAGACAATTTATAGATCAAATACCCATATGGAAACGTCTGTTTTTGGCAAATCCAGTGAAATAAAATGTTTTAACATGGATGATGACACCTTTGCATCAGATACCACCCTGATGAAGGCAAAAAGTTTGGGATAAAATGGTGATAAAACCACAGTGTATTGGAGAAGAGTTGTGCAGCCTGTTTCAATCTTGAAAAGGGAAATAATAACATTTCTGTACTTTATCGTATTTATGCAAATATTCTGTCAATGTATTATTGTCATTAAGCATTGTCCCTTTTGTCTCACAGTACATATGGTAACACTGTCCAACCTAACATCCAACAGCTCACAGCCACAGACTAACCTAACGATCAGTATTACACCTTAGTTTGTAAAAGTACTAACTTTTTGCTCTCCAGGTTGTTCAGAATGTCCTCAGAAAATACTCAGAAAAAGGTTTGGAAATGATTTCTTAAACAAACTATGAATCTTTCTATAACGCTACAAGGACCATGGGAAGCTTGTTATGTAACAGGAGTGGCTGTAAAGCAGTCAGCTAGACCATTGTTCTCTTTGACTGTTTTCTGACACTGCAGCAATATGCTCAACATAATGCATTCGATTGTCACTGTATTTGTATTGATCTGAGCTGCAGGGACGGGAGAACGAATGAGGGTGTTCCAGGACCATGTCCAAGAAACAGCAGCTGTGAACACACACAAACACACGGCATTACAGACACAATCACAAAAACACACAGAGCCTCTCATAAACACAGAGCACGGGAACACTAACCTATAAACATTCATATGGTGTTTGACAGCACAGACTAGTGTGCAAACACATACTTGCTTATACATACACCCACACGCATTGCAAATCTATCCATGTTCATGCGGGCACACGTACGCCCATATTGAGGGGAATATGAAATGAGCATGTGTAATTACATGGCAAACGTCGTAATGATCTGATGTTTAAATATTTCAACAGTTTTGTGTTGTGCTGGCACCCTGGCAATCCATTCTCAGGGACAGGCTCGGCAGCAGCAACACGAGACGCATGAGAGCGAGTGTGTGCGCCCAGCACGTGAGCTAGCTGTCCAGCCCGAAATATTCATGACCATCTCATTGCTCAAGGCCCAGAGAAGACAGATCAGAGAAAACCTACAGAGTATACATCATAAATCAGGAAGGGAAAGAGATGGATGGAACAGGAGGGAGAACCATCGGCTATAACTCTAATGATCAAAAACTGAAAACTATTGAAGACCTTTGAAATTTTGCTTGAACAGATTTTCTTTCTTGATATATAGATATATATTGTAGGATCCTTCAATATCCGTCTATAATATGTGTTTAATAGCAGCAGCTGCTATTTAAAACCTGCTATTTCAAGCTTAATTTACTTTGAGGCAAACATTGGGGAATAAGCTTATTCGCTTCCTCCACTCTCGTATCTGGGAAAACTAATGGTGTCATGTAGTCACAAGACTTCTAGTTACAGTACATAATTCACTGTAAAACCACAACTTGCTGGTTTTACATATCTGTTCTGTGTACAAATGAATCAAGTGAGATATAAGCTGCTAATCAGCAACTGTAAGCAGTGCTGCAGGGCTGATTCTTCAACCTGTAGACAGAGCCATACTAGCTGTTTCCCACTGCGTCCAGCGCTTCTCAAGTTCTCAAATGTTACATGTCAAGACTAAACACGTCCTAAAGGATAAATAAAAGTACTCTGATTTGATTTTGATTTGATTTCAACAAAAGCAGCAACCAGAGTCATTAGCATATACAGTGTAGGGAACATGAATGACTGTATACATTTTGAGCCAATCCATCAAAAAGATGTTTAGATATTTCAAAGGATAAATGAAAGATTTGACCTCATGGTAACACTGGAGGAAAAAATCAGTAGGATTCATTCCCTGGGCACCATGCATAGTTTAGTTCGGCCCAAATCTGTCTAACGATAGATAGCTGTTGCTATCTGTATAGCCACGCTACTTAAGAAATAAAACAAATTGTCCATTTGATATAGAGTTTTGTTTTAACAGCTGTTGACAGAAGATGACAGTGGAGCAATGTCTGACATCTCTATCACTGCCATCCTTGCAAAAGACAGAGTCCCTTCATTTAAGCGCTGAAAGGGATTGTGTTTGAACAGCGTGGGCTGCCTGAGCCTTCAAGTGATGCAAGGCAAACACTTGACACCATCTGATCCACACAGATCTGACTTACCCACAATCCTCGTTTGGATATAGCATATTTGACAGTGGAAGAAATATAACTCCTTTCACAGGGCTGCCTGGTTGTAGAGGGCCCGGCCAACAAGGCCCTTGGGACTATGGCCACAAACAGACAAACAAAATGTGTTTCTCAGAGTGAATCAGTCATTATGTATGTAAATTAGGACAGAGGGGCAAAGTATGGGCAGAAGGAGTCATTTCACTCCTGCTGATGTCACAATGGCTGTAAATAGTGCCTGTAACCATAGTAACATTACGGCTGCTGCAATAAACAGATTAGACATGGGGGCTCGTTGTGCATCATAAAAGACATTTTTCATAAAAGTGAGAAATTCCCAGAGAATGTCCTTTCCTGGTACATTTGTGTCATCTGGTTGACACACTGACCTACAACGTGCTCTTTCTCTGTGCTGTGGTGTGAAATCTGGGTCAATGAGGGACATAAACGTGCGACCAGTCCACCTGGGGCGTGAAACAGATACCAATATAGTGATGACAGATTGGGTGTAACAAATTCCCACACCCATACTGTGTCTCTCACTCTCTCACTCTCTCTCTCTCTCTCTCTCTGAAGGGTGAAGCAAGGAAGTTGCAATCTGCAACTACCAGGCATAGGATGATATGAAAATTCACAAAAGTCACAATTATAATGGTCAAAATAATTGTGATACACAATATTATCATGATAAATATTAAAATATACATACTGAATCCCTTCAGCTTACATTAGGTAAAGAAACACACATATTTATTGCATCATGGATAGGACCCCTCATTTCCCTGTTCTTTATTTTAGAATCTATACTATTTCCACACGTCAGACTTTTTCTGAGGGATACAACAGGCAAGTTGAGCCTTCAGGCATGGTGTCAGGCTTAGGATTTTGGAATGACAAGAAAGATATGAGCTCCCGTTTGTCCGCTTGTTCAAAATAAATCAGCTTTCAGGTCAAGCCATGTGAGTATATTCACCGTTATCACGATAATAGCAATTCATCACGATAAATCTGTGAGTGTTTTTATATCCCCATATGCAATAATATTCTATATCGCCCCACCCCTAGCAACTACACCACAAGATGTCACAAAATCCTACACACTGGTCCTTTAATGCTGGAAAAATTAATTGTGATACCGTTTTGTCTACTTTTGACTATGCTTGTTTAACGTCCTATCAGTCGCGTCAGTAGCTGTATCGAGATAATAGTTTTCAGAAAATAAAATCGAAGTCGCAAAGACCATGGCAGCCCCGAGAATGATTTTTTTTTTTTTGTTGGTTGTTTTTTTTTTTTTTTGGGGGGGTTGTTTTTTTTTCTCCTACAAATTTTTTTTTTTTTTTTTTTTTTTTTTGGTTTTTTTTTTTATTTGGTTTCCTTAAAAAAAAAAAAAAAGGGTTCCCAAAAAAAGTTTTTTTTTTAAAAACTTAAAAAAAGAACGTTGTGGCCGGACTGTAGTAATTCAATTGATCTCTTATCAGATTTATCTGGAAAGAAAAAAGCACTGATACTGTCAAAGCAGACTTAAACCTTCACATCAACCTTGGCAAGAATCCAAAAGAGGAGATTAAATGAGGCATCAAAAAACTAGACACTTGCAGGTGACCACATATCACCTGATGTCCTAAAATCAGACCAAATCCCACTGCACATGTCCTACTAAACTCCTTAATGATACCTGTGCCTTAGAGGAGAAAGCCATAAAAGAACGGATCATTCTGCTACATTTCCCACGACAGATACACAAGCAAACACCATAACTGGGAACGAGTAATGTTGCTATAAAATGCCAGCAAAATCCTGATCATGCTGGACAGGATAATGAGCGTGCTGCATTAGAAGCTGCAGACATGGCTGACTGGTTTCAGTCAGTGTTATAATTTTCAGTTGTTCACCAACTGTCGTCGCTAAGTGCTTGCTCATAGTGGGAACTGTTGGGTCTCTGTGAATGATTTAATCAGGAGTACAGTCTAGACCTACTCTATTTAAAAAGTGTCCTGTGATAACTTTTGTTATATATTGGCGCTTTACAAATACAACTGAATTGAACTGAATTCATTGCAAAAGTATTCAATAGTCAAAGACAAAAAGACCTTACCCAGGTCAATGCTACAACATGATTCCAACTAAATATGAGTTTGGATCAGGGCTGCACGATATGGTAAAAAATTGGTGGTATGGTAAAAAGTTTTGCATCATAATTTCCATTTATTAAAATCATATTACTACTACTAAACAAACATTTTCTCAAATCTGAAGAAGCATCTCTGTAGCACTACAGTAGCCCATTATAATACTGATTGTCACACATTTTACCTTTATCAAAAAATAGCAGCTACTGCAATTTGGATATTGCACTTGGACAGATTGTTGCGTTTTTTTTATTTATTATTATTATTTTGATGAATTGTACAGAGCTAGTTCTGATTGACCTTAAGAATTCATTTCTAGTTTAAAAAGTTTATCTTTTAGGTAAGGAAATTATCGTAATGGAAATTATTTGTTATGGAAACTTACTTTTGTCAAGCATGAATACCATATTTTTCGGCATTAATACCATACAGATGGATATAATTATATATCAATAAAATGATGATAGATTTCAGCCTTTATATTTTACTTAAAATACACAGCTCTGTCGCTAAAGGTAACTGAGATAAAAAAAAGAGTATTAATTTGACCCTTTTTCCCTCTAGACTGAAATGTCACTAAATATAAACTAGTTATGTCATTCCAGTTGGTATCAAAAGGCTGCATAATGTATGTGTACAAAATCAGGTTCCTTCTGGAAAACTGAACCACTTTTAAACTGAAGTGGATTCAGTTTAACCAGCATGTAAGCAACCAACTCCAACCAAAGACTTAGGAAAACAGATTATATGAAAGTGCAGAAGGGTATGTATTCTCAAGAGCAAGACTGAGTGTAGAAACAGTGAGTTAGAGCAAAGGAGTGAAGAGATGGAGAAACAAAGAGAAGAATAATTACATAAATACCTCTCTTTTATTCTCGTCTAAAACCAACATTAACACAAACCCACACAATTTAGATCCTCTGCTCTGGAAACCCCTGTCACTGAGGCTGTTTAAATTCTGTTAAGTCTACTCCTCCATCTGACGCACACAGAAAACAGAACTAATTTCTTCTGGAGGACTCCGGGGAGGCGGAGAGGAGAAAATACAATTAGGGGGACATTTTCAAATTGTATTGAAAAATGCTTTTGAGGCCCCAAATACAAGCAGGTGGGATCAACGTAGCCTAAACTGCGAATTTCCCTGAGGTCCTTAGAGGAGATTACATATCCTTGAATCATAAGAGGATCTCATTTGATGGGCTGCTTTATTTCCTCATTATCAAACAATAAAGCAGCGAGGGGATACAAATTTGGATTTTGTTTTATTTGTGTTTTCAATTCCTCCTTGAAGTGTTTCTTATTGTATAACTCATTGCTGCAGTGTAAATGCATTTCCTTGATGTGTACATTTGTATTTGAAGATGTAAACTTATCTCCAGACATTTGTCATTAGATGCTTTGTGTTTTCATACCTCCTGTGTGCGATTACTCTCGCCAGACTCTGTTAGCAGTTTGATAGGGGTAGAGCGCTGGGACACGGATCCATCGTCGTCGCGGTCGTCCTCTGAGTCATCTTCCGATGTGCTGCTGATGGCCTCCTCGCTCGGGGGAGGAGGTGCGCTGGCTGCAGTCTTCCTCTGGAGGAGCGTCTCCTCTTTACTGGTCTTGTTGCTGCCAAAATCCACAAACCGCCACAAAGATAAACATGTGCAAAAACACACACATGCACAATGACAGGTAAGTTGGCATGCAATTTGCTGTCATGAATAATTTTCAAGAATATTTATGTTGGTGTGTTTTAAGATATATATCGGTATCTGTAAACCGAGATGTGACAAGAAAATATAGTGCAGAAATGCCAAATAATATGGCCTGCAGTTGAGTGTAACCCAGACAGAATGAAGATCAGCATCTTAAATAACACGGTCCTGTCCCAGAAAATATCACATTCATGTAATCGGGAACAACTTTATATATCTGGTGATGGTGAAAAGAGCTGAACCCCAAAGTAAAGCTCAGTAGTCATAGTTAAATAATTTGACCTATGGTCATGAGTTTTGAGTAGGAACAAAGTAAAATAAATGGTGAAAGCAGAAACAATATTGTCTTTTCATAGATATTGTTTCACTTAAATTTGGTTTGCCTTTTCTTGTTTTATAGATACTGTGTGATTTTGAATTGTTGTTCGTTTTTATAGTTTTGTGTGGACCCCAGGGAAGACTAGCGACCACATTGTGGAAGCTAATGGGGATCCATATAATGAATAAAGAGGAAGGAAAACATTAAAGCAGGACAGAGCATTAGAGGGGTCAGGTCTAGTGTAGTAGTAGTCATGCTGTTTGAATTCATGTGGAAACAATTATCAGCCACAAGCACATGATGGTTTATAACTATGGGGAAGTGCTGCATTAAGCCATTTTCTAATAGTATCCCTGTACAGGACAGTGTTTCCTCTATGTTGATTTTGGAGCGGAGGCCCACCGCTGTTAAATTTCTGCCGCCACGGTATCAGAAATGGGGCAGACGCACAATGTAGTCACGGTTGCCTTTTAAATGATCCTGCCGACATAATGCACCCCCGTTGGCTGCCGCTCACATTGCAATTTAACAACAAGTAGAACTATTCAGAGGTTATTGTGGCTGTCCAGTGTAACTCCACATACTGTTGTGTTGATGTAGCTTATTGTCAAAACGTTCACTTTCTTCCAAGTCGACTATTAAACTAACAGCTCCACCAAAAACGCCACCGCGGTGGGTCCGTTTTAATTGGACAACGTTCAACTTGTCAGTTCTCAGCTCAACGTCCTGATATCAAACATCTGGAAACATTAAAACGGTAAATATATTTGTTTGTGCCGCAGCGGGCCTTACCCACGCTGCTAAAAAAAATCCTAAACACTGCAGGAGTGATTATTGTAAATATATATATTCTTGCACACACACACACGCACACGCACACACACACACACACACACACACACACACACACACACACATTCTTGCACACACACAAATGCACACACACACAAGCAAAAGACAGGAAAAAGGGCAGAGCCTTGTTTTTGGTTACTTGAGAACACTGTGTCACATGAAGCTGTGTGTATGAGGGCACAGTGACATGAGATTTATTACATAAAAAATAAAAAGCAACCAAAACATCACAAATGTGAACATGTAGATGTAAAATACACTCACCCCAACACTGATTTTCCTGTTTCTTCTGGCTTGCGAACTGTGAATGGGCTTGGATCCACGCCCACTGTCTTGGGCATAAATTCCCTTTATGAGCACAAATCAGAGGGAAACCCATTAGCGGACAGCCCGCAGTACCATCACAATAATGGCTAATAAGTGTTTAGTACACAGAGGTGGGTATCATCAAATAAATCTGACTTAAACAAACAACAACACAATAGTCACAAAATCTTTGAGGGTTTTTGCATGTATATAATATGTCTGTATGTGTGTGTGTATTCACCTTGCAGAGTTGGTCATGGCAATGCAGAATGTGTCATCAAAGGAGGTGAGTTCATAAGGTTTGAAGAATTCTGTGTAGATGTCAATACTTTCATCAAAGCGGTTAACTCTCTTCACCTTGACTTTCTTCATGTTTTCCTCACAGGGGACTGCATCCCCGCAGGCGCACACAAAGGGAACAAACACAGACATTATTCCACATACTTAAAATACAAGTATGGTGATGCTTTGTCAACATGTCCCACGAAAAGACCAAAATCAAACGGCGATACAGCTGTACGAAAAAAAACACACACCAATGAGCCACAATGTTGCACTGGGTGGCACCGCAGTTTATTATGGCCATAAATATTTGCTGGCACACCACACAGGTTTGAGTAATGCCGGCTAAAAACTATAGTGCCCAGTTGTTTTGAATTAAAGTATATATTGGTGTCCCTTTTTTAATATATTAGCAACATGGCTCTAAAGATGGCAATGTCGATCCAACACCTTGTTCTAGCCTGAAACAGCTCAACAACCATTGGACTGGAATGGTACCCTGATGATGAATTGTTATGACTATTTATCTTGCACAGCCAAGTCAAATATCGACAACATTAATGACATTCCCATTAGCTTCAGCTGTACTTTGTATTTTGTGCCAGTTAGAGAATGTTAACATCAGTATGAAAGCATGGTGATGTTAGCATTCAGCTCAAAGCACCTCTGTGCCTGTGACTGAGCATGACTGTAGCATGACTCTTTGACAGATTTGTCTTCAGTAGAAACAGATGGGATTGGGACTGAGCCACAGACAGGCTGAGGAAGCTGGAAAGCACCGAGAGATGGATAAACTGTTAGGTTTGTGTCTTTTCATGGGATTTGCTGACAATAAAAAAAGATGTAGAATATCGTCAAGCTTTTCCCTTAATCATGCTGGCAATGGTAAATGCAAACAAACAATTTTAATAAAATAGCAGATATCTTTCCGTTACATATGAGAATATTATTACAGATATCATATATTGAAGAGATACCTTCATCATAGGCCACAGGAAGGTAGGATAAGATTCCTTCTGACCACCACAGTGTGTAGCTGGAAACAGACAATATACAGAAGTGTTAAAACTTTACACAAAAATGTCCCCTGACTGATGTGTGTTCTGCAGTCTGCACTGTTTCTTCTGGGACTTAACATAACCTAGATATGAAAATGGACTTGGTTGGACCACCTACTGTACAACTCCTAAACCCATTTGCCTTTTATTTAATATGACCAATTTGAGTGAATGGACTGATTATGATTTAGTGTGTGATGTGTTACTTAGGTGAGCTTGAAAGCAAAAGCCCACTGTGTGGCTGCCAAATTGAATTCGGCTCCAGCTATTCTAATTTCTTTGCATAATGGCTGACCTACCTTGGCTCATTGTGGCTACATAAACTAGTGGCATGTAGCAGATAACTGGGTCTACTCTTATGTAAGCACGAAAACAATATAGAGGAGGAAAACTTTTTGTGTCATATATACTGTATGTATGTCATACTGTATATATGACATAAACACCTTGTGCATTTGCATCATAAATAAATGATACTTATAGAGCAGGTACATAAATATTTTAGAGAAAAGAGAAATATTTTTGTTAATCCTATTGTTAGAAAGCAGTAAAACGCAACAAGGCTGAACAGAAAGATTTGCCTGGTTTTAAAGAACAGTGGAAGAGTTCAGGTATGGCAAACGGTAAGAGCCAGAATGTTAAAATGTTAAAGGTAAAAAAAAAAAAAAAAAAAAAAAAAAACCACATTGCGCATTTTTATGTGTTTTCTCAAGTTGTAGTGTTTCAAGCTCTCAGGGCCTCCATTAAAAGCCCTATTTAGATAAGGTGGCTGCAGTAATGTGGACAACATATTGGGCTGTGGTGGTAAGCCATGAAGCAAACCTCAGGAGTGCCACACACATAATTACACCTTGAGGCCGAAGCACTGTGACCATTGCTTGATATAGCAATCAAGTGGAACGACCGCAAAAACAACATCGACCTCGCTACTCGTGGCAACCATGTACAGCCTCAGCTTTTTAAAAAAGGCTTTTCAGAAACAGCAGTGCAGGTACTAATCTTTGGTGAGTGATTTCCACCTGTGCTATTCAATCAAACACAAAAACACAACAAACATTCAAAACATTAAGAGCAATTGAAAGAGGTATTTTGTGTGTGTGTGTGTGTGTGTGTGTGTGTGTGTGTGTGTGTATGTATCATTACGTGTATCCAGTTTTTCAAACACATATGCAGTATATAACTGCATTTGTGTATTCAGATATATTTATGTAAGTGGGTTCTTATTTAGATTTGTGCATACAGTATGTGTACGGTAAGTTGTTGCATGTTTGTAAGAATACAAGTATGTACGTTTACCTGCGTCTATCTTGGGGCAAGGCCATGGTGTTCTTCTGATGCAGGTAGAAGTCAGTGGGCAGCTCCCACAGGTGCGGCTTGGACTCTGATGGCTGATAGACTTGGAGAAACAGGTTGATGGCATCCTGTCTGTCAGCATCTGGAGGAGCACAGGACATAATAATGAAAATATATGTATATTGAAACATAAAGATATAATATATGGTAATACAGGAAAGAATTTATAAGGCTAAAATTAGTTGAGGAAGTTAACTGAGGGATATGTTTAAATAAGTCTGGCTGAGTGATTTTTGTATACTGAAAAAATGAGCTGAAATGATGAGTTGATAAATGTATTAGTCTCTTACCTAGACTATTTTATTATTAAGGGTTAGGGTTAATGTTTGTCTTACATTTTTGTGCTTAGACTAAAACAAAAAAATAATCAACTTGGGCTTTAGACAATTGTAACCAGCATTTTTCACAATTTTATGGACCAAATAGTCTGATTCAAGGTCCTGTGTGTAGGATGTAGTGGCAACTAGCGGTGTAGGGTTAGGGTTAGGGTTAAGGCACACTGCAACTCACGGTTCTTCATCAGGATGGAGTGTGCTCAATATGACTCAAGATGTATATTGTACGCTACCCTCTGTCATCAGGGAACAAACTTATGTTTCATGATGACAACTAAGCCGCCACTACAGCAACCAAGCAAAATCAATCCACTGATAAAGACCCTGAGGTGTGTTGGAAAGCTCTGGAAAAGGCTAATAAGTGTTAAGATTATTATTATTAAAACTTGTCAAGACATGATGCCAATATGTCGATGACATATTTTTGTATAATGTGTGTTATATAATATGGTCCACACTACACACGAGTGACATATTATATATACTTTAATTTTATGCTTAATTTTACACTTGAACGTTTTGAATGAATAATGCCTTGGTAGAAGAATTTAAAATGTATTTGTCATTAATCACGAAATGGTTTTCAGCTACATGAGCTTTATCAGCTTTACCAGCCTGGTATTCTGCCACTGATAACAAGTGAGCTAAATTACCTACAAAATCCCGCTTGTTCATAATATGAACTTTAAAGTTCAGTGTTCAAGACACACTTCACCAGCCAGTCATGTGGAGAAAAAAAGAGCAGAGACTGCAGAAGTGCCAATTAATGAATTATAGGTAAAGCTGAACTCACTCAACTATGCGTCCTCTTCCCATTAACAGGGATATTACCAGTAATGAACCACCACACTACACAACATGCTGCTGGGAGCGTGCTCAGATAATCTCTGTGAATGTCTGTGTGTTCAGCATGGGGCACGTGTTTAGCATGTTGTTGGCATTTAATCCATCCCCCGACTGTGAAGCCCCCGTGCATGCTGCTCCAACAGTCACGTTAAATAATTAGAAACTAAATTGGCTTTTATTAAAGCCTGCTACCAGGCCTTTTTCTCTCGGTAATTTTCAGCCTGAGATTCATTCAACACATCAGGAGATGAGAGTTCTGGATGACATGTGAACATAATATACACATGCAACAGAAATCATTGATAAAAAGCCTTGTCTCACAAGATGTATTAGTGTGGGAGTGAAATGCCACAGTAAAGAATAGGTCTGTTAAATTTCAGCACATTTTCCCCCCTTTCACTTACATAAAAACAAACACAGAAGACTGTAAAGCATATGGAAGTGTGTACTGTATGTTTTTCTGTCCAAAATGTATTTGTGAGTCAGAGAGAAGCTTGGAGTGCTTGGCAGAGCACTGTTATTCACTGTGAACTGCTGGATGATTGGGGCATATGTTCTGATAGGAATCAGGAAAATGGATCTGTAAAAATAAATTAATTAATAAATAACATATGTGGGTAAATAATATTGGTTTGCAGCCAACACAACGTAATCAAGTAACAGTTACATGTGGCACTTTCACACCAAATCAAATATTTTTGTACAGACATTTCTTTTTCAGATCAGAGATGATACATTTGTTTCAGACTTCTAAAAAAGGCCTTAATGTTTACTGTGTCAGGATAGCCAATGAGTGAGCTATGAAACAGCCCAGAGGCAGGCCTTACACAGAGTGCATGCACATGTCTGGGAATGTAACAGAGGGGGGTAACACTATCATAATCACAATGCCAACATGCTGATTTAGCAGGTATAATATTTATCATGTTCACCATCTTAGCATGCGAACATTTTCCTAATTGGCGCTAAATGTACAGCCAATAGGAATGTCATTAGTTTTGTAGGAATTTGGTGATAAACCAAAGTAAAGGATCTTGTGACCCAGTAAAAGGGCAGGTTGGCAGCAGACACTAGCTGGTCCTCAGACTATTTTTCTTTTTCTTTCTCTTCTTTGCCCTTATATATTCTGCAGAGAGTGCAGAGGCACAACAGGGCAACAGTCATCTTAGTCAACCACTTAAAATCATGAGATCTGATATATAGGTCATGGCACTACTACGTCGAAGGACTATTGAGTACTTGTGTATATGATAGTCTGTGTGTGTGTGTGTGTGTGTGTGTGTGTGTGTGTGTAGAGAGAGTGTGTGTGTGTGCGCGCACTGCCACATATGAGCCTCTCTGACTTGACATTTCAGTCTGAATAAACAATCTGCTACTTTCCCGGCTCTGCACGACAACCAACCAACATTCCAATTTTTCAAAATAAAGTGAATGACAAGAGTCGAAAGCAAAGAGACAGAGAGGCGGTCGACTTAGTAGGTCAAGTAGTACAGCTCTATTACGCCTGGCTTAATACACATTACACAACTTTCTTCTTCATTTCTGTGGCTCCAAATGCTACCCTTTGATGTGAAGCAGTCACCAATGTACTGTGAAAACACCCATGAACATTTTCATAGGCAAACTGCATCTAACTACAAGCTAGGGTGTCATTTATAATTATTACAATCCAAACTTCGGGCATAGCAGCGCCACTTTATCAAGAACTGATTGGCAATTAGATTCCAGTTGCAAATTGGAAGAGAGAGAAGAACATCAATTCACCTAATTTAAACATTTCTCCAGGTAACAATATCTTAAAACAAATGTCCTCAAAATATGCCTTTTTCACAGCTGTTGACAATAAATTCAGAGGCTTCTATTAAAACATTGCAAATGTTATAGAAATGGCTTTGAACGCACCGTTTACCGGCACCCACAGTCCTCGGGAGCAATGCTGGATATGATAGTGTCTGCTTTAGCTTCAGATGCTGAAATGTGTATGTTTACATTTTGCCATTTTAAAACCAGATTTTATTTTTATATTTATTTTATATCACAGAGTGGATGAATACATATTGTTGTACAACAATAGGATTTTGTATGAACGCTCCATGTAACCAATCAGAGCCGAGCTTATGTGGTTACAGTCTGAGCTATCTAACTTGCCTTTGCAGTTGTGGCTATTCCTTAGCTTTATGACGTTTTCTTACTTGCACAACGTGTTGTGTTAAATTAAAATAAGTTACATCAGCTCCAAGATGTAGGGACTGCAGAGCAAAGTCACACTGTTTCCAAAGGTTTGTCCAAATTTTTTCAGAAAGTTTGTCTTATTCCATATACTGAGAAAATACTTTGAGTTATGCATTATGAGGACTATTTTTAATATAAATATCAGGGGGGCTGTGTGTGTTTATTTATCTATATATTACCTGAATGTGCTGCATGTGTGTAATCTACTCCTGTATAAGTGTATGCAAAGGGATGGAAAATGAGGGGGGTATGCATAATCAAAATGAAACGTTAGTAACCTGCATTACCATATACTGTGAAATTAAAGGCATACTATGCAGTTTTCCGGTTTTGTCAACCAGCTACCTCTAGAGTCGCTGCGGAGTACTTGTATTTAACGTTAACGTCGTAAATACCACTCACCAGAGCCGTCTCTATATACGGCTCTGCGTCTCTGCACTCACGGCCTGATCCCCTCCCCCCTGTATACCGGTACATGTTCAGTAGGATGGAAGCGTCGGACATCGAACAGGCGGCAAAGATAGACTCCGAAGATGTCTACTGACCAGGTAACGTCTTCCATTGAGGCTGCTTCTTATGTCGCTAATGTATGTCACAATTTGTGATTCTCTCGAGATTTGGCAGGACGCCATCTTTCACACTTGCATTGCTGGTTCTGCCAACGGCGTCCCTCCCCAGCTTTGCTATCAGGATGATTCGCTATACTACGAGTTCGTTTACCATCGAAATGACTTTGAAGCTGTTATATTAAGGTACAAATCTTGCATAGTATGCCTTTAAGGGAGGGAAGAGGCTTAAATAATGTTGGTGTCATGACAGAAGTCCTACCTTATTTATGTTTGTGCATGTGTGTAAGAAAAAGCAATTCCAAGTAGAGGAATGCTTCTGTATGTAACACACCTGAGAAAGCATTGCTGTAGTAGCGTGACAGTGTCTGCATGATGTCTTTGGAGTGTTGTGTCCAGGGAGCGATCTTGCGGTAGGTCTTGACCCTGTGGACCAGCTGAGAGCCGCCGTACTGCAGTGACAAAGTATCTCCATGGTCCTCATACAGTTCCTCAAACAACCTGGGCCACACACACACACACACACACACACACACACACACACACACACACACACACACACACACACACACACACACACACACACACACACACACACACACACACACACAAAAAGAGATATTAACACAGGCAAAATATGATCCTGATATTTATCTTGCCTGCTGTTTTTTTTATTAAGGTGAGTTTTGGGATTGAACACAATCAGACACACACAGAAAAAAAAGACTGTATAATTAAAAAGGGACCTAGTCTCTATGACGCCACCTATAGCTTTCTAAAGAGTTGTTGTGAAGCTCAGTGTGGTCGGCTCTGGTGATCGGCATCTTGGAAGTCCTGACTCTGCCTGCTTCCGGTTAATCAAAAAACGGTCAAATATGTGGAGTGTGGGTGGAGCTGAGGCAGGCTGAATGAGCCTGGTTACTAAAACCATCCGCCTGTGACAGCATCCACCTGTTCTTAGTTATACATAACTTTAAGCCTTAATATAATTTAAACAGGTGAGTTATATTAAAATGCTGATAATGTTTAATGCTTAATTTGCCAGCCACGGAGGTTTGCCGCTTGGAAAAAACACACACATACAGACACACATATTTTACATACATATTTTCTTTTGACTGGCAAAATAAATTATAAAATAAAGAGCTTTACCTCACACAGTCAGTATCAAACTGGAGTTTGGGCTTGTCAATCATTCCCAGTGCATAAAGCTGATAGGCCAGCGCACACTTCCCCACCATGAACTGGGCAGTGTTGGTCCGATCAAGACAGTCCACACAGTTGGTCCGCAACACGCCGGTCTACAACAACAAAGACACAGAAACTTACAGACACCACTTCATTAAGGTGGAAAAAGACAACTTTTCAACTTGGAAAAAGCTACTGTAATGATGTGCACTGCATAGGAATAACATACTTTGAACAACTAACTACAGCAGGGATTGGTGTAGTAAGTGCTGGCAATTAAATTACAGTAAAGAACTCATTCTCGGAAGATTACTCACAAAACCCCTCATTATGCAGCTAAATGCATTGGCATAGTTTTGCAGCGATAGCAATGAATGCAGAGCCTCCTCTAAATAAATGTTATAGTCAGAAGCTGTGTCCTTGGCCTAGAAATCTCAATGCTATGAATTCATATGCAAGTTTATTACCTTCTATGATTCAACTGATAAACAGTGTCTTCCAAAAAAAAAGGTGAATTATGAAACGGAAGTTACATCAAAGCTGTTTGCTATGTGGCATACCTGAACCCGTCCACTGGCTGCGATGTGTCCACCTAAATCTCCCCACCTGAGAAAAAAGACATTTAATTCAACTTAAAGAATAGATTGCTGAAAAAGTAAAAATGACTAGTTTTTGTGAGTTAGATTTAGAGGACTGATACCACTCTCATGTCTGTATTAAAAAAAACTAAGCTAAAGCTGGCAGCCAGAAAACAGTACTAATGTAAATAAATTACTAATACTATATTTAAAAAGGTAAAACCAGAACTTGTCGTTGTTACACTTGAATTTTGTCTGCACTAAGTAAACAAGATATAACATGTTAGTTAGTGAGCCGTTTTCCCCATACTTCTTCATGCTAAGCTAAGCTAACTGACAGCCGGCTGTAGCCTTATATGTAGCACAGAAGAGCAGAAGAACAGAGAAGTATAAAAGAAGAGTGGTTTTGATCTTCTCATCTAACTCTTGACAAAAAAGGTGAATAGCCATTTACAAGATGTTGAAAACATTATTTAATATATTCTCTGAAATAAAGGCCTGATGAATTTCATATTTTAGATTTTAAAGTCCAAGAGCAGTCAGATACCGAGACCAGCACTGACCACTTCTGGCTCTAGGTTCTGTCTTTATTAGTTATTTTCCGCCAAATTCAATACTTCTACTCTCATTCAGCACTTTCTTCTTAAAAAGTGCTTCACAAAAAACAGCAACAGGCAAAGCGAGAAAAACTGCATCTACATTGTTTAGAGGGGGAGCCCTGAAGATAAATACAATAGTTGTTGAACGGTGGGTTTTAAAGTAAAGTGTATCTCAAACAAAGTGTTCTATGAACTCAATGACCTGACCAATGGGCAATTGTAATTTAAGTATCAAGTATGTATGTGTTTTGTGTGAGAAAACATGGTTAGAGGACAGACAAGAGCAGTATGATGAGGAAAAGACAATGTTATCAAATCTCCCTGATCAGCTACATTATTAAAAATCTAATTCATACGTGTGACGAAGGCTACAGGTGCTATAGTTATAGTTTATTGTAAGTGTATCTACAAACATTCTTATGCAGGATTTGGTTGTGTGTGTATATGAGAGCACATGTGCATGAGTGTGAAGCGAAGTGCATTACAAAGAATATGATAGTGTTGGGTAATGCAAAGAGAGGGTGTTAAATACTGGCAACGGTGTGGTCGTTAGGTTATGTAACAGAATGGTAATGTTGGCTGAGAGAGATTAAGACACGCAGACAATGGAAGGGCCATGCGTTAAGTACATGGACGGCAATCTACTCAGCTCGTTAGCAGAAAACTCTGCGACACAACTGCCATCGGGCATAATTCTCATTAAAAATTCATATCTGGGGAGTTTCAAAATTAAGTAGTATCGATAAATGTATGATTCTGAATATGTATGAATAGAAAGTTGGTGATGGTGGTGTGGTCTCACACATGGTTCCTTTTTCTTAAACTTTTTTCTCACATTGCTGGTGCATAATCGGCTACCCTCTCTCATTTTGACACACTGTGACCTCTGATTATTTAAACAGTTTTCTTGCTTAAAACGAGGAGAATGTGAGTCATGAGAGGTTTCTGAATAAGTTTCATTTAGGTTAAAGGTTGGCGTCATATGGAATCGTAACACGTTACAGACAAGACCTCACTGAACAAAGCTTAAAACCTGGTCCAAAAGAGTGTGTGTGGTGTGTGTGTGTATGCGTGTGTCAGCATGCTGTGTTTTTAAGAGAAACAACAGAACAACAGGATAAGAAAAGGCTCACCTGTCATCTGGTCTGAGGGTATGACAGAAGAAGTCGGAGCAGTTAATGAAGAAACCTGTCCGTTTAACCACGTTTTCTGCTATCATACTCAGACGGTCCAGGACGTTGCACAACTTACTAAGAGCAAAAAAAAGGGAAGTTCATATCAATACATATCCAATTTTGTGTTTCTGTACCTGTAGCTGAGTTACAGTGATGATGTAACAAACCTCTGGCTTCTGTAATATTCTTATTTATTTGTAAATATGTCTAATATATGTAACTTTCTTTAAGGCTTTAACAGAAGCCAAGCAAGGCCAAATTCTGGGGATAGTTGTTCTAATAGTGCAACATTTCAGAGAGCTTATTTACAATAGAGAGATCAGCTGAGTTCTTCTGGTGCTGCCTACACTGCTCTTTTTCACAAGGTTTTTCAGTTTAATGAAATTTAACTCATGCAAAATACGCTGACCTCCACGACACACATACAATGGGGTTCTGGCATTAACGGGAGGCCATTTCGCTGTAGAGAAAATTGGTGGAAAAGTTAATTTTGTGTTTTTCTAAAAATGTATTTACATAATTTCAAAATGCCAAATTGGCAAATTCATTATCACAATGAAACATATAAGATTTAAGAAAAATAAAATATTTTGGCTGTAGTTGTACTGTAAAGGTTGCATGATGTTTAATTCAGGCCAAAAATGTCCGATTTCCAAGATTTCAGTCTTGCAGCTTAAGAGTTACTGACTAATGGCATTTTCTTCTTTCCAGGTGAGGTTTATATTTTAATGGCAAAAATACGACACTAACAAAGCTGGTTTATAAGCAAATTTCCGCTCACTAAATTGAAATATTTTATGTAACAACCTCTTGGTGTAGCGGGCCATGTCCCAGGCGATGTAGTCGATCCAGTTGGCGGGAGGGAGGAACTGATTCAGGTTGATCACAGCTGGGTAGAGCTCTTCACTCAAAATCTTCTCATGTTTCCTTTTTTCTCGTTTCTGTAGCACAATAGAGAGACAAACTTATGTCACATGAACTGCATGACTGATTGCGTCACCAAAGAGCGATGGAGATTTTATTGAAAGGTGTGAATGTACGTTTATAAAAGAATTCCAGTTGCTTAAGAGGCCCCATGAGGACAACAGCACATAGAGTCAGACATGTGACAGATGTCGTCTCTTTGATGCATTCACAAAGATATATTCAGGTCTTTTCTTTCTGTTTTGAGCGACTATGGAGGAAATTGAGTTGCAAGAATCAATTTACAGTTACATTTTGCAAAGAAATATGGAATGACAACATGATGTCATGTCCATTTTGTCAAGTTTGTTGTAAAAAACTGGTTTGACTATAGCATATACGTCTATACTAAACTCATCTGAAAAGCTTTACTGCTGTTGGTTTAATTGCTTCTGAGGTCAAGATATTTAATTGAGGTAAAAAAAGATAAACAAATATATATATATATATATATATGCACACATCCAGTGTGCCTCAGTGACATGTAGTCACACTGTCATTTAACTTATAAGTTATTTCTCCAGTCACTGTGCCATTTTGACTGATCACCCTGGGTGATAATGGGCTTGGATGCATCATTAGCAGCTCACATCTCCATCCACACATCGAGCAGCGGCAAAGCAACACAGCAACCAGTCAAATTACTGATGCATCTCCTCTCCCATTCAAGCAGAGCATGTCATACAGTCTGGCACATGCACACACTCTGAAAAAAACACTTTCTAGGCACAGATGAGACATTACAGTGTGTAGATACACTACACATATACTTACAAAAGCACACATGTTCACAGGTATAAACCAACCAGCATACACATGCCACAGAAATAATCATTGGTGTGGGTGTACAAAGGTGAAGTCGCAGATCATGAATAATAACATGAATCTAAACATTCACACATGCACATGTATATAGGCTAGAGCAGTGGGCATTTTAATGGAGGGAATGAGCACTAATTATTATATTCTTTATCCCTCCTACTTAGCTCTTTGTTGGTTCTATGTTGGTTGCTTCCAGTTTGGACAGAGATTTTGATCTTGAGTTCCTCATTAAATTAAATTAATAAATTAAATATGTGGGTAGAGTAAAAGTCAAAACAAAGTGACTCTAATTAAGTTAGCTAGCTGAAAAACTGATTCACATGCTTGGCCATGTGCACTCTTCCTCTCTTAACATACACACTCAGAAACACGCACCAACCCATGACAAAACCATGAACCCGTCGTGCCGACCCATGTCACCACCATGGAGAGATGGACTGTCGTGCTTTCACGGTTAATTGCCAATTCCTTCTTCCTTCTGTCTTCTGTGGGTTAAGAGAGGAAGGTGTAGTGTATAATCAGGGCGCCCCCTCCCTTGCTCCCCACAGTTTCCACACATCACATGGCTGCAGCTTGTGCGGACCTCTAAAGGTCTGTGATTGGTCCCTCATCACACAGCTCCCATTGGGAGTGACAACGTGAGCTTGAAACCAAAGCTACAGAGTGTATGGCTGTGTGCCCAATCGTGTCCGTGTGTGTCTATGCGGAAAAGGCTACGCTACAACACTGGCTCAAATGAAAGATGTCTAACAGTGTTGCACACAGGGATGAACATAAAAAAAAAACGAGTTTCTTATGCAACCTTTTAATTACTTTATTGTGGATTTTTTAAGATGGAACAGCTTGAGGCATCATACGTTTTAAAGCGTCATCATTACTATTTCTTGAAATTTAATTATTTTTAATATTATAAACCCTTTTCATTATTCAAGGGCAGTTTGATAGATGATGAGTTTTTGGTTGGTGCTGATTTTACAGCAACATAATGTAAAGGGTCAAAGGGATAAAAGCCACGTGTGTCTTTTCAGGTGTGTGCAGTGATGTCTTCCCTTTCATCACTGCCGTGTGGGTTTTCAAAGCGATGCAGAGAGAAATCAATATTCAAGTTAGCATTTCAACTGCTAGTAATCACCCACCACCAGGAAAATCTCTTGTGATGGTGAAAGTCTCCACAAGAACGACTAACCCCCCAATATCAATCCAGCGCTTGGACAATTAGCCAATCACAGTGTAAGATAACAACCTGTCGAGTGATTCCACAAACTGAACACTTGAACAATCCACAACTGATCTAATCTGTATCTCACATACACATTTTCTTCCTTTTTTTATATTTTCTTCTGATCTCGTCAGAAATTCTTGTGAAATTTAAACAGAACAGAATATAGACGGGTTTACAAATTCAAAGCGCATAATCCTTAACCAGTGTAGATAATAGTGACCTGTTGAGTCGATACCATCTATGACCACACAATGTAGCTCCACAGAAGTAATTCCACATGTCCTGAATGTATTATTTAAAAGGGTCCCTGAGCAAGCACCTGTGTGACCTCTGCTAAATTGTTCAAAGCATTACAATTGTGTCACAGTATTTTTTCAAAAAGGTGTGTGTGTGTGTGTGTGTGTGATTTACCTTGACCAGGTTGAGGATGATGATAGGAGAGCCAAACCGCTGCAGCATCTGGTCAAAATGGAGGCCAGCTACATGGGCATATGGGTCAGCTTGGTCCACTGAAAGAGAAGTCAAACGGTTTGTTTATTATTTAGGACATTCAGGGTATAACATTTTATTATGTAGTTTAAAATGATACAGTATCTTTCATTTGTTAGTTAAGCTTCTTCTCAAAACTCAAGCTTCTTCACTAAAGTAAGAAAAAGTAAACGTAAGTAGATGAGGTAACTTGTTTTAATAGGGCTAACCTATTTCACATTTTTACAGAGCAAGCAAATTTACTTCTACTCCCTGCCACTGGTCCTGCACATTGTTCACCATTACATGCATTCACATCCATTTTCATTCTTCAACCTATTTGATGGTTAATTGGTGACTCTAAATTGGGTGTGAATGTAAGTGTGAACAGCTGTTTGTCTCTCTATGTGACCTCCCAGCAACCAGTCCAGGGTGTACCCTGCCTCCTATTTTAAAATCAAGTTTAATGCCTTCATTTGCCACTCCTGCAGAGTCCCACACCACACCTGCAGCCTGCCATCAAATTGGACCAGTGAAGCAGCCAGAAGAAAGATTAGAGGGAGCAGGTCGGATGGCGCCACAGTTCATCCCATACAGTTGCTCACAGGGGTCTAGAAGCCTGACAATACAAACACGTGCTCAAGCAGGTAGTTTTCAAGGTAACTACACTACCAATCCATCATCATTTCGTGGACTGCGTCTACTCAGCCCTCATGTTGATAATGATGATGATGACGATGAAGAACAGTCGCCCATTAAGGTCATCTCCTTCACAACCAAGACATTCACCCAGTCCAGGGCAGTCATAAAGACATTATATATATATATATATATATATATATAAACATGTCTTTATTTATATATATATATATAAAGAAAGACATTATATATATATATATATATATATATGTCTTTATTTATATATATATATATAAAGAAAGACATTATATATATATATATACATACACATATATTTACACACATATATACATACATATATATACACACACACACACACACACACACACACACACACACACACACACACACACACTTATGTAACAATAGGTCTTGACAGTCATGGGAGGCAATGGGCAATGCATGTCTGATATGTACTCTGCATGCACAGACACTGAGCTACCACTGTCTCTCTACCACGTCTCTGACCTAGATTTGTCTAATAGCTGTCATTCTATGCAGCCCACATCACAATCAAATAAATATTACAACTGTATTGAACGTGGCTTGATTATCTGTCTGACTTGAGCTGCAACCAGGTTTGAATTGTTGAGGCTTCATTTCAGTTTCACAATGCTCACAGTGGTGGTAGACAGCACATACAAGGCCAACTGAAATTACAATTAAGCCAGTTCAGAACAAAGATTCACAACAACAACTACTTGCAAACCCGCCAGTTTACACCAATTCAACTAGACGAGACGGTGTATTGTCCCCATAGCGAAGACAGTAGTCCTATTCTACCTTCTAGCTTTTCAGGCGCTGTAGCATCTTAAAATATGAATGAGGACAGTGACTGTGAGTTACTACAGTTGCATTTCCAGTTTTGCTGGCATAAACACAAAACAAAACAAGAGGTTTGAGAATTTGGAGCCGTCCATGGGTGCTCTTTATTTGAGTTAATTTGAGACTTGTATCATACAGACGTGGTTGTCCCTCAAACAAACTGATGAGGTTATCCTCTTATTTCCTCCAATCAAAACTCTGACAGTTTAGCAAACCTGATTTGACGAGCTGAGTTGGAGGCAACGCCATTAGCCGGCTTGAGTCGAGCTGAGATGGGCAAGTTAACACCACCTCAACTTTTCCCTGCAACGTTCTAAAATAGTTTCATCTCACTGTCAATCTTTGGTCTAAACTGGGTTATCTAAAGTGATCCTTTTTTGCAGTCAAAAATAATGTATAAATTCATTGTTAAAAGAAAAAAAGTCTTTGGGGAACAATTTGATTGATTTATCAGTATGTCACTGTATGTGATTGATGGATAGCGGGGGGGAACAAACAGATAAAATACACAAACTTGCACTGGAAAGTGCTCATAAGCCATTGACAGACAATGTTTTGTTACCAGTACACTGTTCACGAGTAAGGACCACAGCAGCATCTAAACTAGCTGAAATTAGATTTTCAGGTAGGTTATTAAAAGGCATTTTGGGAAATCCGATTTGTCCCTTTCTTGCTGAGAGTTAGATGAAAAGATTGATATCACTATCCTGTCTGCATGGTGAATATGAATCTACTACAACTTTCAACTGGTTAATGCAAAAAGAGGAGCTCCACCATAAAACCAACAAATTAAAAATAAAGAAGAATTTTTTTTTACAGAGCAGATATGCAAACCAAACCTAACATGAATAATTTATTCATACTCTCTTGTTATTTTCTTCATCCGCTCAAATATGTATTAGTAAATGACAAATCTTCAGTGAAGGCAAAACTATAATCTAAAAGAGCATACCAATGCCAGGTCAGACTGTGTCAAACCACATGTACACACACACAGAGTGAAATATATACCGACGGTGCAAGAATTGGACAACATTTGGGAAATGTCAGATAAGGACTGTCTTTAAGGATCAAAGTGGGAGCAGGATGATGAGGTAAGTTGATACACAAAGGGATGTTAGGGACACGCTCAGTGGCTCTATCTCACACAAGCAAATGTCATCCGGGGATGACTTAAAGGGCAAACTGGGAGAAAAGATTATGATTTGATACAGGCATTGTACACATGCAAGCACCCAATGGCTCCCTGTGTATGCACACACACACACACACACACACACACACACACACACACACACACATCAGACACACATCAGAAACACATCAGAAACACACACACACACACACACACACACACACACACACACACACACACACACACACACACACACACACACACACACACACACACACACACACACACACATAAGAAACACACGCAGCAGTCTCCAATGTCATCAGTCTCAGAGACCTGATCATCTCCCTGTAGCCCTGGTTTTGTGTTTTTATCCTCCTTATAATGAGACAAGAGAATGGATACAAAGATGAAAACCAAGAGGGAGGTGTCCTGCCTTCACCTATTTTGTTTTTATTTTTTTTAATCTGTGTTCCAGTGGTTAAGAAGAATGGCCCTGATATAAAGCTCTCTTGTTTGAATGCAGTTTTCCCCAGTTATAATCTTCCTCCGTTCCTACAAGGTTATTTCTGGTCCTGGACAACTGCTAGAATGAATACATTAAAAAAACATAAGTAGTTTAATACCTGCTCCTTAACCACTATCAGTATTTATTTGTTATCTGTCTTTATGTATAAGGGCAAAGTGGATATGAATAATATGTTCCATCAAAGCCTGAGTAGTTTGCTGATTCTCAACCTTTTCCGTTATAAAGCTGTTGTCGGGCACCATAAAGAGCAAAATGCCAATCACCTAAGCGATGACAACTCTTTTTCCTACACGATTTTTTAAACAAATTATTCTGATGCTGGATAGCAAAGAAGGTGCTGATGTTAGAAAAATATGTGGTGTTTAGCAAGAGTCTTACATCGTATTGGGGGTTTTGGCATCATGGTGGAAATGTCCTGGGACCAGTACAGCGGGACTGATCCTCGCACCTGGACGTATGAGGAGTAACTTCCTGCTGTGAAAGACATGACTGAGGCGTCATGGACGATCTGCTCGGTTTCAACTTCATTAGCCACATCCCCCTGCAAACAACAGAAAAACATAAAGAAACCACAAAAAAGGTTGAGAGAACAATCTCACCACACGGTCCATTTAGTTGCTGTTCTGGCCCTTTCCATCATTACATCTTTATCAGCAACTGTAGATGTTCAGATTTCCTTTTTTTGAGCAGTTCAAGAAATCCTCATTGATAGTGAATTGGCAATCTCAATCTTGATCATGTTCATCTTCGGATGAAGACCATGTAATACAATTGAAAGCTCCAGAACAGCTACTAAACTGTTGCTCCCAAGGACAATCATGAACTCTGAACTTTTGAGCTTTTAAGCCGACATGGATGAGGAAGCCCATGAAGTGTTTAGAAAAAAATGGAAATAGAAATCAATGCTGCTTTGAGCATTTGAGCATATCACATGATGTTTATCAAGATTAACAAGTTTTTCTTAAAGCGCACAAAAAATTGAAATTTGAACGCCTATAAGTCCATGACAAGGAAAACCCCATTTGCTGTGGAAGATCATGTGATAAGATCAAAAGCTCATATTTCCAAGGAAGCAGATATTTGGTCATCACACAGCAGAGCAACCACAGGGGAAATTAATAATATTAATGAGGGCTGCACTCGCTTTGGCTTCACTTGTCTGACGGCCCTGCCAGCATACACCTAAATGGAGCTGAACCATCGTTAACAATATCAATTACACCTGTGCTTTTACTGCTATGACAAATCAAACAGGATGCTACAGTGAAAAATAGTTACTACTTGAATACAATAGCAGGAAACTGAAAAGTGAAAATTGTGCACAAACTAATCTCAGGATAGCAGTCCAAACAGAAATAGGAAATCTACGTTTGTTCCTCCTCCCTCCTCCCTCCTCCCACCCACACAGACACTCATGCATACTCAAGGAAGAGGCAGCGGGTCAAATTAACCCCCTGTGATCAACCTGAGTCATCTCCATCATCCCGGTGGCCCTCAGCCCTGCCTCCACTATCTATTCTTCCCTGTTGCCTCAGCAACCGCTGTACCTCGCAGTTGGCTCCTCTTTTGAGGAAGCGGGTCCCGGCAAATTTGCTGGAGCGCCTGGCAATGAGGGTGATGTGAACCGGACGGCCGTAGATCAGAAGCTCTGCAGTTGGTGGGTAAAGGAGGAATAATAATACACCACTGACAATGTTATATAATCACCTGTTTGCAAACACACACATGCTGATATCAAAATACATCATAGTTCTTAATTTAGAATATTGATTTTGTCTTTTTTGTAGTCCCCTACCACTCTCCTAACCACACTTGTATTGGGCCACAGTGACAAATTACAACTTTTTTAGCTTCTTAATCAGTGGAAACCAAGGATAAGCACTATTCAAATTCTTATTAATATTATTGATATAATAATTATTATCCTCAAAAGTACATTCAACTCAAAAACAAAGCATATTTGATCTAAAACTAAAAGCAAATCCCTAAGGACATTTTGCTTGAGACTGTGGTATTAATTTTAAAAGAAATCTGTGATTTAGTTAGTGTAACAAAGCTACGTAATATCAAGCAAACCACTAAATTATAATTTTCTATTTTGGTAGACGAATCACTTCACTAACAGACTTCATGAAAACTATTAAAAACAGTAACTTTATTAGAATATTTAGCATTTTCCTTACATGATTTTCCCCAAAAAATATGTATTGACTCAATCAACACGTAAGACCCACTAGAAGAGTGTGGCGGTGTCTGTATCTGCAGATACCCTGCCCTCTTTGTTCTTACTTCATTGTGTTTGTGACGTTTCTGGGCGCCAACTTTGGGCAGTGGGTGTATAGCCCCCAGGAAATAACAGTGGGCAGCGTGTGAGGGTGGTAAAATGTAACAAACATTTCTGAGCATCAATTCAAAACAGGTCCAAATCACAGATCTACAAATTAAATCTACAGTATGAGCATTATGGGAAAGACTAACTAATGAAATTCTTCTGTTTCTGCCTCAATTCACTTTTTCCTGTCGGCTTCAGTGTCTCCTCATCTGCAGCAAATTTCTACATTTACTCTATCCACTGAGTCTCCTCTTATTGCACCCATCTGTACTCTTATGCTCACAGAAAACAGCACTGAAGGCCAAACAGTTCCCAGGAATTGTCTAAACTCAAAGCGCCCACACAATGTCAATGTGGCAGCACGCTGCCAGATAGGAGACACAACAGAGAGCACTACTGAGAGCAATGCGCCCCTTAGCTTATTGGACTGCTGCAACACCGAAACACAAAAGCTGGCATAAAAATATCAATTCATCAAAAACAAATTACTGATAAAACATAAAAGAGTTCCTTTTTTTTGACTAAAAGGCAGAAAGGCAACATATTTTACACAGCTTAATTTGATTTATACAAAGGAGACTTGAACCTAAGGCAGACTTTTACCATAATAAATCAGACTGTTTACTCAGCTCTAGTCAAGCCCAAAGCCACTCTGCAGCAGTAACCCATGCATCAATACCACAAAAGCCTCTAAAAAAATTCAGGGAAATTATTCATGTAGAGCCTAATACTAATCCCTGGTATGCAGCTAGTGTCTAGTCAAAACTTTAAAGAAAAAACTACAGTAGCACTGAAGCGAATGTGTAAACATGTGTATAGGTGTACAAACGTGATTTGTCTTCAATCCAGAAAGAATAAATGTGTAGCTTATCTGATTACGTATGCAAACTGTTGCTGCTTTTTCCAGGGAGGTAACAGATGGAGAGATTATCCGAGTGCCAGTGCTAACATACTTGATGACCTTGCTTAGTTGTCATAGTACTTGTCTAGCCCTACAAACAAAACACAAATTGCTTCAGCACTTTTGTGGTGAATCACACGCTTGCTCACAGTGTAATACACGTGTTCTGATGGAGGCCGCGCACAGTTCAACAAGTGATGCTGAGGCTCGGAGATGAGGGGGAGTGCCGACAAAAGGACGACATTGTCAGAGTAAAGTTGTGTTTTCTACTCGTGTGTGATTGATCAGATATAACCTTAACAGATATTATGTCCCAACAAGCTACTGTACAGTTCTTATTTCAAATTTTGTACATTTTGTAAGTTTCTTTTAAAATCTAAAGCAACAAGAGGATATTGCCAATTAAAAAAGCACAGACAGACATAAGTAAAAGCAACAGCCTAACAATGCACAAACAAAACTGATTTGACAATGCTGAAAGGATACTGGACTGGCCACAAAAGCCATGGATTATATACATGAGCCAGTCATGATGCACTATGTCCTTGACTCGCTCCAGTAGCTTCCCGTTCCACACGTACTTGTAGTACGGCTCGTTCAGGAGGCCGTAAACCACTGTGGCGGAAGAGAAGGAACACATAAAACCTCTGGATCATTTTACTGGGTCAGACCAAATTATCAGTTAGAAAGCAACAAATGGAAAAAAGCTGAGGTGACGCAGGCTGTGGAACAGCAGCATATTTGGAAACATTTGTATTAAATTGCTCAAACTGAGATAAAGCTTGTGTTATTGTATTACAATACACACAAATGACAGAACAGTTATTTTTCAATGGATTTTCCATGGACTTTAACAAAACACACAAACCTGCAGCGGAACAGATAACTGACACCTCTGACTGTGGTAAATACATCAACGGCTTTACACCTTTTTTTGTGGCAACAGGAAAAACAATTATACTAGCATTGACTTTCATTTATTGCGTGAAAAGGCTTATTCCAAAGAAAGTAGCTTAGCTAACACTACATACTTGGTCAAAAGTGACATTAAACTTAATTATCTGACTTTCTTGACATCTGTTCTGCTATATAAAGAACTATAATAAATATTAAAGTTGCAATATCAACAAAGCACAACTAAAAACCATAAAGCGACAGCGACAGCTGAAGCAAAAGAGATAGCTAAGATAAGGTAAGATATGTACTTTATTAATCCCCCCTATCCCCACAGACAGACAGACAGACAGACAGACAGACAGACACACACACACACACACACACACACACAACACACAGACACACACACACACGCACACACAATTCACTTGTGGACATGCAACAGGGAGAGAGATTGTGGAGTGATGGGCTGCCACGTTAGCAGCGCCCATGAGCAGTTTCTAAGGTTGGCTGCCTTGCTCAAGGGCACCTCGACCTGCACAGGAGGCGAAACTGGCACTAGCTAATGCAATGGTTAGCCTAGCCAAAAGTAAAGCTAAATTATTAGATTTTTCATTTTTCCCTTGCTGTTATTGTAATTAAAATATATTAATTCTGAAATTTTAAATATCAATAGCTATTGGACAGACAGGGAGACCAAGAAAGATAGAAATGCATTTAATTCCTGTAAGCTATAACTTAACTAATAATCAATCAAAATAAATCTTACTTTCTTGAACAAACTTGTTAAACTATACAAGAAAGATGATGTGTTTTGTGTCAAGATACCACATTTTCCCCTTGCATAATATGCTCTACTTTTCAGCAGGAGTATTAGGAGGCTTTTTCCAGCCAACAGAACAAACAAGAGGCATATAATGGCTACTAATTAACTTCCACTCACCTTGCGTAGGCAAACCCTCATCTTCAAAGATGTCAAAGCAGTCCTGCTTGCTCTGTGTTTGTACCTCTTCCTCCGCAGAGGATGCTGGTGATGACCACAGTTCGTAAGGCCTCTGCAGCAAAGTCAGGTTGTACTGCAGCGAATGGCTCAGGTCATAGCTGTAGCTGCAAGGTACAATGGCAATATAATTTGAATCAGGTACAGCATGTACAGTCCCATAATCAATTTAAGATGTGGCCAAAGTACAAAAATAGAGATATAAACAATTTCAACACGCGTTGTACAATTTGAAACATCAAGTGTACTTCATGTCAGACAAGACTTACCAAGAACTGCTGGCTATTTTTAGACTAAATATGCATCAATAGGTTACATAGAAAATAAACACAGAAGATATTTTTTGTTGATATGACAACAAATTGACATAGAGGACATGAAAACCTTTGGTAAACTATCACAGACACACAATTGTTCAGGCTGTGTGCAGACTCCTTGTGACATCCAAGGGCACACTTGTCAAGATAGAAAACAGGAAAACGAAGGTCAAATAAATTAAAGCCATTTTTAGTTTAGGCATCAACTGAACTCTGAGCAGCATCACAAATAACCAGCCGTGTGTCATCTTGATTTTCTACCAAGTCATGTTTCTGGACCAATGCTGCTAACAAACAAATAAGTAACCCTGGAGCAAGCCTCCTCAATGCTTTTATAGATATCATTTATAGAAAATTAAATATATTTTAAATAAATGACACTGTAAGCATGTTTCTTTCTTTTTTGTAAGAGAATTTGGACTGTCTTACCTGAAGTAGAAGTTGCTGGATAGGTCCACATTCTGAAAGATCCGCACATATCTAGAACAGCAAAAACTCAAGTTAAACACACATCTGAAATAAATACCACAAAAAAGTCATCTCTAGAGGGAATTTAATAACACATGCTTTTTTATCATTTAGTAAACTCACGATCCCTGACTAAGTGACATATTTTATGGATACAAGTAGCCCAAGTTATAATAAAAATAATAATAATAATTAACTCAATAACTGTAAGACATTTGTGTAAAACAAGCAGATTATTTCCCGTTTAGGGAACTTTTTATACAATTCTTAGTCTGTATTTTTTATTCTTTAATCATCCACGGGCATCTTTTTTGACACATACAGTGTTTTCTTGTCCTTCACACTGGGCCATTGTTCTATTAGACAATTTACTTTACTTTTCTTCATAGAAATTAACAAAAGATTGAGGGAAGGCTTCGTGACCCCCCAGGAAGCTTTGGCGAGCCTAGTGGGGGTCCTGAGCCCCAGGTTGGGAACCACTGTCCTAAACAACTTGTTTAGAATAGTTTATTAACTTATTTTATTTTATTTGTTCATAAGAGATGATGAATGAGATAATACACTCATTACTGATCTTATAAGGCAGAAGACATAGGATATCCATTTCAATTTTCAAAGTGTGTGTTAGAGAACAATTGTGAGCACACACACATTTACAAACACTATCTGCCAAAACACGAAATTAAAGCATGACTGTATGCTGCAAACAGCAACACTGCATGATTCCTAAAAGTCCCTAAAAGAGAAAGCGACAGTACCTTGCTTCGTCAGGGTGTGTAACCCTGACTGAGTCATTGGGGATGTAGATCATGCTGGTGTCTTCAATTTTGTAGATGGAGTGGCCACCGATGTCGGCCATCTTTCTACGCTTGGTGATCAACACAATGTAGTACCCCTCGAGGAAACGTACAAATCCTGTCGAGAATAAAATAATCATACCAACTTAAAAATCTTTTATAACTGCAAGAGTGCACTCAGTATAGAGTGCAGATCTCCAGCAGGCAACAGATGGTGAAACACCTCCTGCTAATTCCACCACAACAGCCAGATGCAACCAGCAGAAATTTGCAAAGTAAAGTTTATTGTATAGTATAGTTTTTAATAGTGTTCTATATATATATATATATATATATCTTAGTTTTCTTTAAGATGCAGAATAGTGTAATGGTATTGTAAAGTAATATCACTAGCCCCATTTATTGGGGCAGCTGACAACATCCAGAAATTTGAGGACCCACTGTCTGGTGGTAAGGGAGTGAGAAGGCTTCCATTGTACAGCATACATCTTATTAGCAGCTTTTAAAGCACGACTGTATCCTGAAAATAGCAACACTGTATCATAAAATGCTATTATAAAAGTGTTACTGTTAGTAACGTTTAACAAGTTGAGTGGGAATTCAAGTTTTGAAAACTAAAAGTATGTCATTGTGTGTAGTTTAAGTTGGCTGATCTCTATCTAGCTCCATATTTTCATACTATTCACAGCAACTGATTTAAGAAAGTGGGTGACCGGTTCAACAGCAGTGATTAAGGAGAAGATGGGCCAGTCTTAACACGTACCGCATAAGCCTGTTTGAGAGTAAGAAGAGATGCTTTCTTGCTGCCTGGTACCAGAGAATGGACTGGCTGGAGTACTCTGTGACAGCGGCTTCCTATTATTTGGATGCATTTTGGTCATTGAAAGTGTGTGTAACTGCATTTATACATAACAACAACGTGAATGCACTACCTTTTGTGTATTGTGTATTTTGTGATAGCAAGTCAGCCTAGATACCACTTCGATCCAGAACTATGACACTGGTGGACAGTTCCACAAAAAAGTGCCATTGACTGTACATAACCCACACAAGGGATCATCCTCTCTAGAATTATGCCTGGCGGGGATAATAAACCAATCAATTGCAACTTTCTTTCAAAGGGGCATTTTTTTCAGCCTTACCACTGACATAACCTGAGTTATTCATATCAAGCCCTGAAAATCAGCTACAGCTTTAACAATGCAAACAAGTAAACAACTCCTTTAGTGGAGGTGGATCATGAGTGTGTATGTCATACTTCACTATATTACCTAGACCCTCCAATCCATTTAGTCTTACATAATTAAAATATGACCCAGAAAACATCACACAACATAGTTTACGATTCGCTTTCAGCTTTTGCTGAGCTATTTTCTCATCTGTGATATTCAATTACATAATAGATGGTTGTGGCTCATGTCTGTGTGTCTGAATATTATTAGCCTGCCTCCTCAAGCTCTTTAATATATGACTGCTAAAACTAATCTCTTTACAGATTGTGTCTCACAAATGAAGTTTTGCAGCTAAATAGAAAATCCTTGTGCATTTAGACTTTTTAGAATTACAGATGACCCAGTCCCATTGTGCTGTCAGCTGCTAGTGAGGATGATGAGTTTATGTTTTAAATACAAAGAGAATGCTAGAAATTCAGGTGCATATAGTATGATTCAAATCCATGGACACATTTACAACCAATCACATAAGGAGACACAGTCCACTGGGGCTTTGACAGTCACTAGAAGGACATACATGTTCATTTGTAAAAGTGTCTGTGTGGTACCTGTGATATTGCTCAACTTATTGCTGCTGAGCTAAACATAATAAAATATTTAGTCACGGGGCACCCTGGTGGCTCCCCTGGTGGAGCATGCACCCCATGGGCTGGGGCTGAGTTTGTTCAATCTTGACTTGCAGCCCCAATAAACGCTAAATAGCCCACAAAAATACTTAAGAAGATAGATACTATTACAAAAAATTCTTGTACATGTGTGAAATTACACTCTCTCTGCCCCCCTTTCCTGTCTATCTTCAGCTGTCACTATACAATAAAGGCAATAAAAGGCGAAAAAAATAACTTACAATAATACTACTCATTATATACAGCAATAAGAAATGTGCCAGGCAAACGGGCTCTCAGGATACACTGTACCCTACATGGCTTTTATTCCATATAACACAGTGACTCTCGCAAATAGAGGCTTGTGAGCAAAGGTGGCATTAGGGCACAGTAGAAAAAAGCATCTCATTTAAGCAGACGTCAAAGTCCCAATCTGTCTGTGTCAGTGTGACCGACCCATCCACAGCCTCAACGATGATGCTGAATTATCTTAGACGTCTCACTATTATGCCCTGAAAGGACCATGCCAATATTAGTTAACAATTGCATCTTTCTTTGCCGGAAATGGAAACGTATACAGTTCAGCTCGGCATCTTAGCATTGTTATTGTGAGTATGTTCGCATGTTAAAGTTAGCGTATGCTCACTTATGTTTTACGTTAATTTGGTCTGGTTTGGAGCTGCTGGTAGCACGGTGACATTACGGTTGGAAGTAAAAAGTTTAGAGCCACTTTGTACGAGCTCATCAAGTCTGTATTTTATTTGTCATTCTTGGGCAATAACATGTAAAAAAAACCAAAGTTGGCTAGTTGAGGTCAAGGTTTGGTTTCATTTGATTCTGGCTCATTAAAAGGCATATCATACTCATTTCAAGCTTTATATTCCTATTCTGGGAATGAACTACTGTTTATCTTATACTGGCCCTTAAGGAGACTTCCTGTTTCGCAAACATTGCAGGTGAAGTCCCCTTTAAAATGAATTGGATTAATGCTTCAGGAAAAGGACAGAAATTGAAAACAAAAAATGAAAGCGTTCTTCTGATTTATAGAAATGCCAAAAACTGCATTCTTGCAACTCCTAAATCTCATATTCCTAGGGGAGATATGTTTAAAAATGTAATCAATTAATTAAAGTGTCTAGTATTTTTGGAAGAAATAAGCTTGATTAGAAAGTGTCACTGTCACATGTATGCAGATTGTATAGGTGTCCGCAATTGTTTTCTCACAAATGTCCTGGATACAAAGAAACAGACATAATCAAGGATCAATACTGACAGGCTGTGATTAAATCAGCATGGTTCTTCTTCTGTGTCTATTAGAATGTGTCCTACATGAAATGTAGGTCAGGGCTTGAGGACTGAGCATGCAGTGCATACGTGAAACTCACAGCGGCAATTATTTTTTCCCACAGCAACTGGGGTGCAAACGCAGATAAAGGACGTACAGAGTTGGCTACACATGTGATCAGTTACACAAACTTGTCACGTAACAAACCTTGGCTTTAATATATAGGACAGAGAGACAGAACAAGCAGACCTGAGAAAATGAGAGTGACCTGTATTCCATGTCTTAGCTTAACAAACAGTCAGAAAACAGACACTTTTGCTATTAAAAAAACCTTGTACTAAGTTTTGATGTGTTACCGTGTCATTTGCCATTTCACAGAAACTATATTAACTGCTTATTTGAAACTGTTTTTAAATTACATTTCTTGCCTTGTTTTTTCAACGATATTATAAAAAGTGGGGGAAAAAAGTGTTGAGATTAGTTTTAAGTGATTAAATCAATATAGTTTATATATTAAAATACATGCCTATAAAATGTATCCAGCCCCCTTTGAAGTTTTTATGTTTTATCATTTTGAAAGGACCAATGTATAGGATTTAGTGGCATCGAGCAGTGAAGTTTCAACTTACTGAACATGCTGGCATCTGTTTTGGACGACCTGGTTATGAGAACGGGCTGTTAAGTGTGTGAAGGAGAAACTATGGTGGTCACAAAACACCAAAGGCCTAATCTACGGCAAGTGTTTGGTTTATCAGCTCTGGGTTTAAAAATGTGGCAGTTTAACATGGCGGACTCCATGAAAGGCGACCTACTGTGTCTGTAGATAAAAACAGCTCATTCTAAGGTAACGAAAACACAACGATTCCTATTTTTTCAGGTGATTATTGTAGATCCTTCCAACAGTTACACACTGGACCTTTAATGTGGCTTTTTTGACACTGATCAATAGAAAGAGACCCTGTAAGGCTCAAGTAAAAACAGATCTCTACCAAATGATATAAATTAATTTTAATGTAAAATACAAGTAGGCACTGTATATCACTATTACAAGTATAGGCAACTCTCTTAAACAATACTGTTGTGGTTTCTTTTTACCTGATTTTCTAGAGAAGGAAATAGAAAGTAATAAAAATGTGAAATGTTCTTGCTGCTTCTGAATACACCACTGATGGTCATTATTTGAAAACAGAAAATCGAACATTATAAGCTTCACAAAAGGTAGTAGGAGTGGCAGCGGGGCTATATTGTAGTGATTATACGGCCAGGTGTTCCTTTTATTGTATGTTTTTCCATCCCCTGTACTTAATATGCAAAACTAGGTCAATGGATGCAGCTGTAGCACAGCTCATTGTACCCCACAGTGGTTGCTGCTGCGCTGGTGAGTGTGGAGGGACAGTACTCACCCACAATGCCAAAGGCTGAGACAGCCCTGGACAGGCCCGAGGAACCCTTTTGGCCAATTTTGGTGCGGTTGCCCAGGTCCAAGCGGCCCAGCAACTCCCGAACCTCTTGCTGGCTATACACATGCTACAAACAAATACACACACACACACACACACACACACACACACACACACACACACACACACACACACACACACACACACAGATACATGAATAAAGCTGTGTGTTTCTTTATTTATGCCTTTCCACACTGTTCATGCATTTCTTATCAAAAGACAAACTGCTGCTTATGGGGGACTCATTTTTGACTAATAACTTAATTCAGAGCCAGTGAGGCTTGTACAAAAGAATTATTTTCTGTGTAACAGTAAGTAAATGACTAGCAGGCCTTGTTCAATCAATGGCCCCAAATTTTCTACAGAAGGGTTTAGATTGATCCTCAATGAGGCAATTAATGGAAAAATAGATTAGCTGCTAACCAAATTCCTTCCTGCCATATTGTAATGAATAAACAGAACAGATCAACAACCTTTGCATGAAAGTTATCTGCAAAGCAACTTACGTCACTCATATAACAGAATTCACTGTTAAAATTCTGCAAAACTGAAAAAAGCTGTACTAAGCTATATATGCTACAGTATTTATATACATGATTTTTTTTTGTCTAATTAAATGCATTTTTCTGCAAAATGCAATAAGTTAAAGATACATCTCAATTATTTAGGTTCTTTATCTCGCTGTATTTATCTCACAAGGTTCTATGCAGCCTTTTATTTTATTTTGAGTGCCGTATTAGCGTTTCTTACATGTTAACAGTGAGAAAGTGAAAGATGAAGTTTTGATTCCAGTTTTAAACCTGCTCACCTCCACTGCTTCATCACATTCCTAAGCATCCCCACTCTGTTCAAGAAATACTCTACTATGCCAATCAAATGAAAAACAAACACGGTTTCCTGAGGTTAGTATAATATCTGCAGGAATGAGAGCGTGGGGTGATGGATATTTAGTCATGGATGCTTCATAATAACAAACAAATCATAATCATAATCACCCACAACACGACCAAACAAATCAACTCCCAGCTCATAGATCCTGGTAATGAGCAGAGGAGAAGAAAAGGAGGTGCGCTCAACACTCATCAGCTAAGCTGTCATCCACAATACACTGGGGACAGGCTGAGTGATTGAACAATTTTAGCCCGAGCGTGCTGTACTGTATTGCATAAGCATATACATTACCACTGTACTAACTCTGGTGGAAACTCTGCGCTTACCTTATCATCAATTATGACCAGGTCCTTGGGTTCTGTGCGGTCAATCTTCAGGACTCTGTGTTTGGTCTGTGCCTGATTGGTCCCAACCAAAAAATATCTCTGGAAAGAAACAATACACGTAAAAGCATGAATGCACTTTTACTTGTGTGATTGCATAATATTTTGTGGACACTGTCAGCACAGGGAGCTTTCTCATGGATGACATTGGATCAGATTCAGTCTCTGTAGCCAGTTTCAAGAGAACACAGTAGGACAACTTGTCTGTCATGTGCCACATTGATCACAAGGCTACATTATGATGTGTTTTTTGTTAAGATCTGTGTCTTTTCTTTTTCAGTCATTATTTTTCTCACACTGGGTTGCAAGATGGCTTAAGATTTTCTGTCCACTAAAGAGCGTCAAATTGGAACACCATGTATCAGTACAGTCCTCAACCATTAGAGCCATTTTGTCCTGTTCCACACGTCCACATATCTGATGAAGCAGCCTTTGTCCACGGTAGTGAGACAGTCAGTTTATCCCACTGTTCAGTAAAATGGATTGACAGCAGAGGTAACCCGCTACAAGTAACGTAAATGAGTAAAAAGGAGCCTGCATCGCCCTTTCACAAGTTGGCAGACACACTTTCACTTCCCATTAAGGGCGTAATAAACGTGTATTTAGTCTATGTAGAACAAATGTAGGCTACACACTGTATAAACATCAAAGTCAGATGATCACTGGATTGATTCTGATATATTAACAGAATTATCTCCTTGTGCAGATCATGGTTTTCTCTTGATGGAAAGTAGCCCTTTTTTCTCTCATTTGCACTGTTGCTTTTGGGTTTTATGGAAGAAATCATACTTTTCCCTTGAGTAAAGATTTTCAGAGTTCTACCCACCACTGGCAGACAGTCAGAGATTATTCGAACTAAACTGCGACAAATGTGTTCCTGAAATACGCACATATCTATACCAAATGTGTACAACCCTAATCAAACCTAAATATAGGTTAATATATTATAGGCAAACTTGTCTGACAAAATATAATTATTCTGACTGTCTAGTCTAGTCAAATCCCTATAAGTAAGTAGCCAGTAGACAGGAGTACACCAGGAGTAGCAAATGATCACAAACAATATTTTGCTGCCATCTAGTGCCTGTCGACAAGTAATCACAATCCTACAGGAGCTCTCCACCTTTCTCCACCCTCATGTTTACATCTGGGAATTTTTTTAGATTTCAAAATCATAGATGGAGCTTAGTGTTCTTAACATCAGTGCGATTAAGAATAGAGTCCATTTCAACAGGAGCAATACATCCTTAAAATAAATGATAGGATTGGGATTTTGGCTTTTGGAGACAGATTTGTGAACGTCAGCAATTTGAACGCCCAGACTGGCTGGGATAATCTGTCCTGAATAAATATTTGTGCCACAGTGTCATTAGCAAGGCACTTCCATCAGAGCTGTGGTTGTCCATGTGCTGTCACATGCATAGCTGGTGTGCTCAGTTAACTTTACTTTCCTTTGATCATAAAGGTATATACAAAGCATGCTTTCCCCTCATCCTGTTCTTTTAATTCAGCACTTTGTCTCTGCAGTATGTAAGTCACTAGTATTTACCAGGAAGCCTCAGCTTCAACATGATGGAGATGTACTTTAAAGAGATTTTGTTGACTACTTGCAGGCATGAACAGAAGTTTGTGAAGTCGTGGTGAGACAGTGGCAATAACAGCACAGATAGATAGAGATATCCTGACAGACTTACGGCTCTGGTTTCATACAGAACCATCTTCTGGATCCCACTGATGATACTCGCTGACTGAGGCATTTTTATCCCGGTGTTCTCCAAGCAGTCACAATCCAGACGAGACAACAGAAGAGCTGCAAAGCGTACGAAAACACACAACATAAATCCATTACCTCACACTACACGACTCAAAAGAGATACGTAAGGCAACCCTTAACACTTAGAGTCACAGTGTGTGGCCCTCATTATACCCTAGCTAACTGTTAACCACTGTAAAGTAACGTTACTCACCATTAATTCAGATAGCTAGCTGCGTTAGCCACAAACCCCTCCCAGGGATGATAACATGCATGTCCTCTGGTAACAACAAAGTCAATGTATGTCTGTAAACTGACCAGGTATTTAGCACAGAAGAGAATGAAACATGGATTTGTTTCAGTCAGGTGACTGTCATAAAAAAAACAAAAAACATGTCAACTGATACGGTGTCTGGCAGGGTCAAAAAAGCTCGAAAAAGGACACCGAAAATGCGATTCGTAATTGACGCTTTCGCTGCTCGTCTTTTACCTGTGTGTCTTTTCGCTCGTAGATAGCGGCTATATGTATTAACATACTGTTTACTAACGTTACATCAAGAATACACACACATTAAAGCAGCACAAGCCAATTAAACTAGCCACCGGTAGCATTAAGCTATTAGCTCTCGCTTCAGTTTGTTGGTTGCTATGGTAACCGTAATCGGATAGCTATCGTTAGATGAGGTAAAGCTTAGTTAACAAACAATGGTACAAGTTTAAACGGGTTAAAAAGGACATTATAATTCCCCAAATGAACGGTAAGTAAACGTGTGTTGAAGTATGACAGTTATTGGTTACCTGTGGTTAATTAATGTTAAAGTTATATCGGGTAGGTAACGTTAACTTTATCTTTAACCTGACGTTAGTTGCCGTGTAACGTTAGTTCTGCTAACGCAACGTCTTCAGATGTGTTGTTAACTTAGTTACAATAAAGTTTCTTTGAAGAAGCTGATCGTTTGTTTGCACTGTCCTGTTCATGATCTTTGCACTGATGTTCAATAAGCTCAAACAGACCGTTTGGTGGACAACCTTATAGAAGATGAAGCTGAGAGAGAGACTCTTCTTGCCAAACCCACCTGCTTCATTATAGTCGGGAGACCGGTAATTTCTCTCTCTTTTACAGACTCACTTAACACAACATGGTTTCCAAGAGGTAGCTACAAACACATCCACATTAAACACATTGGTGTGGGGGAATGAAATGTGATGTTGACATAAGTTTTCGATGACAGATCTTCCTCAGGTGAAGAATTTGAACACACAAATGTTCATTGATAATGAAATGTCCCGTCATCATTTGCTATTTGTGTTTTGTCTGTTGGATGAAGCAAATTATGATGGATGCATCTATTATATCAAAAAACACATGTTAAAGTGTCATTAAAATAAATATTATAGAGGTAATTTAATAACAAATCAAGTCCATACTGTAGGATCTAAGAATTTAGGTTAACACTGAACATTGCTGGTGAGGAAAGTTCAATGTTTTCAGGTTTCACCCACCACAAACATTGTGGAAAGTGCTGCCTGAAGCCCCCTAACAACTGAACTACTGTACACCCAAACACATTTTGTTCCTAATTACTTCCACGTCATATGACGCAGTGACTTAGTCTCAATTTTGTGTCATTTTTTTGTGGCAGGGTGTTGGAAAATCCACCTTGGCCAAAAACATTGCAGAGTCCTGGAAATGTATCTTAATCGATGGCAAGTATAATTGTTGTATTTCTGACCTTTGTCCCAACATAATATATTACATAATAAGATATGTCTCATCAGCTTTTATAATATTTCAGATACAGATCTGCTCAACACACACATTAAAAATAAAACAGAGCAAGGCATAAAGGTGAGTATGTTTTTCTTTTGTCAAAGGACAGAAAGGTTAACTGTCCCCTTTATATGTCATTTGTCTTCAAATATATATTCTTTGTATGGTCTATGAATTGCTTTTTCTGACCATTTTAGCTCTTGAATGTCTTATCTGGTGGAGGAAGCATACCAGAAGACACGGTGCTCCAGCTGATTCTTGACAGACTTAACTCACCAGATGTTGAGCACTATGGTAAATTGTGTAGCTTATTTTATCAGCTTCAGCACAGTGATCGTGTATGCAAGTTGCACAACAACCTGCCATTTAAAACACCACTATGGGAGCTCTGCTACTGCTTGTAGTTGATAATACGTGTGCTGTAATACAGGGTATGTTCTGAGCTGCCTGCCGTTCTTGTCAGAAGAGTGTCTGAAGATTCATGAGCAGATTGAGCTGATCAAAAACCTCAAACTAACACCTGATTTCATCATCAACATCAAGGTTTGTCAATCAAAGTTGTGCACTGCATCAAGAAGCAGTTTATTAATTTTTATTTTTAAATGAACCTTTAAACAACGGCAAAGATTTGTACATCTGAGATTAGTTTGATGATGAATTTAACACACACATCTTCCACCAGTGTGCAGACAAGGACCTGGTCCATAGGCTGTCTGGTCTGAAGCAGCACCCAGAGACAGGGCAGCTGTACAACAGGGATCAGTGGCAGCGTAAGGAGGTGTTTAACAAGAAGAAGGAGAACAGGGATGAGGAAGTGGAGGATGAGGAGGACCAGGTATGGCTCAAGAGGAAATACCTCCTGCTGGGTTTAACCTTTAATCAGTTTAATCTGTGAGTGGTGTTTGTGTAATTTGGTTTTGATTGTATTCCAATGATAAGTAGTATTATTTCCTGTATTGCCTCATTTCACTGTATTGTATTATTTGGACAAAGTAAAAATTTAGATTTTTACTGAAAAAACCTTTTCACAACTTTAAACCTTTAAAGGGAAAGCTCTCAAGCCATGATTTTCTATTATACGAATCAAGCATTTTTCTTATTATAGCATACTTTTATTTTTTGCTTGCAGGCTGTGGAGGAGGAACTCCAAAAGGATTTTATTGACCAGATGGTGTGGACACCAGAGAACTTGCCCAGAAATGCCTTTCATAGAGTCAACATGTACAAGGATACCATGCTCAGACCACTGGAGGTGAGTTACCCAGGGCTCCAAAAATCCTCAAAGGCTCCCACATTGATTAAAAAGTTTAATAAACATATCGCTGCCCACACATAATGCAGCTCTAGGTTGGACTAATCCTTTGAAATTAAGTCATCCATTTCTTACACAATATAAATCTTGATCTTTGTCTTTGGATTATGATACGTTTCAGACAGCTCTGATGCAGCAATCATGGTTATTGTTCTTACAAGCCAGAGTGCTGAACCAATTTTAATCATCCTTTTCAGCTTTGTCAACTTTGTATCAGTGTTGTCATGGCAGAGATGATGTCTTTGTGTAAAAGTTTGAACTTTATTTAGAAAGTATGTTTATTAGAGATGTCACAGTACAATATTTTCCTTCTTGATACAATACCCATTTGGGGGGTTAATAAATTGATTGAATGATCACTGACAAATATAAAAGGACTGGTTACTAAATGTAAGTTTATTTTAGAGCCAGTAATTTGTAAGTTAATTGATATTTTTCAGGACTACATGACAGACCACAATCTCCTTTACCTGTTGGAGCTTGATGGAAACAACACACCTGAAGAGCTGCACTTGGTAAAAACACCAAGGATGAATGAAATACGTGCTACAGTATTACAAACAATATAATTAACAATAACATTTTGGATCATTATATGTTATATCATATGTTGATGAACTCCTGTTGGCCTAACCTTAGTTTGTTGACTGTGTTGTCTCTAGTCTGTTATGACCCGTCTTGGATCCATGGCAATAAAGCGTGTCTCCATTCCTGTCCTCCTTCCCCAGACTGATGATGAAGAATTATCAGAAGATATTGACACGGTCTGTCATTAAAAACCATATTCAGATTTTATTTCAAATCACAATTAGTTATGTGAATGCATAGAAAACACCAGTATTTCAAACAACCTGCATTAGAGCTATACACACACAGCTGATGCTGACACAAGAATAGGATTTTTAAACATACCCCCTCTACTGAATCTACTCCTAATTTAACTAGAAGTAGTTTAATCCTGAGTCCATCTCTTTTTTAGGAGAACCTACTGAGAGTAATGTCCTCCTCCAGGCCAGTTGCCCCAGGCTTTAGATGGAGAAGGAGCCGCTGGGGCCGAACTTGTCCTGTTGCTCTGAAAGAGGGCAAGGTCATTCCTGGCATGCCTGAATTAAGTGTGGGGTGAGTGATGTGACTTTTGTAAGCTGTGGCCAGGTGAGGAATCTATACAATAGTTTCAAGTGAGATTGGATGAAAAGTTTAACCAACTCACTTTTCACCCCCTATGCAGCTTCCAGGACAAAATGTACATCCTCTCATCTCAGGAGGCTTACCAAAAATTTATCACAAACCCCCGCCGGTACTTACTTCCTCCAATGCCCAGGCCTCCTTGCAGAGTTTCCATCATTGGACCTCCACAAGCAGGGAAGAGCACTCTATGTAAGCTTGTAGCTCAGCACTACAATGCACTGGTGCTTGATGTGGAGGTATTGGTGCAGCCCGTTCTGGCTAAGGTTGAGCAGGAGAGGCTTGACAAAATCAAAGAGGAGACAACACAGGTCGCTATAGAGAATGTAAAGAGGAAGATGGAGCAGGATGGCGGACCCAAGTCGGGCAAGTTAAGCTTTGTTGATGATGATGATATTCACTATCACCTGTACAGTTCTACATATTGTAAGAGACAACAAAATACCATATATTGTATGTGCATGCAGTTTTTAAACATTCAACTAATACTGTCATATACAGAATTAATGGTCTGATATGTTATTTCCTCAGATGAAACTGTAGAAGGTAAGACTCACACAAATGCAAACAAACAAATACGGATAAACATATTTTTATATTATATTGATGTTATTCTGATCATGCTTGAGCTCACAGTGAGAGATTATGTAAATATGAGCAGCATATACTATATTTGTGTGTCAATGTTTTCTGTTGTTCTCAGTGACAGAGGATCATCCAGAGGTACAAGCCATGGTCCTCAGTGCGCTGGAAGAAGCTAAACATATGAGCACATCTCCCTTTGGCCTGTATGCTGAGGTACTGGAGACGCGTATAAAAGAGGTATGTAAAAAATCATTGTAACTACATTAACAAAAGCTAAACAATAGTAACTTTTTTATTTGTTGAATTGATTTGTAAGAAAGCATAGACATTTAACATAGATGTTGCCATTTGACATTTATCACATGCAGTAAATATGATGTCATGGTCATACCAAATGAATAAACCACTTAAAGTTTAATTAAGCATTTAGCTTGAGGTGGAATTTAGTACATCTATAAACAGTGATTGATAATAATTCTGATGTTACAGATTGAAGAGGCTGACACTGATGCAGATGTCAGGACTGGCTGGGTGCTTGACAACTTTCCCAAGAACTTTTCCCAAATGGATGCCTTACAGCAAGCTGGAGTCCTGCCAGACATCCTCTTCTGGCTCAGTGACAGTGATGGAAATCAGGGTACGAGAGAGAGAAACAATGCACCTCAAAGTGTTTTTATTTAAATATATAGCCTTTAGACTATATTTCGGTTCTGTCAGTGTTCATGTATCATTGAACTTCAATATGTTGAATAGTTCTGAAGAGATTATACGAGATGAACAAGGAGAGCGTGGACAAAGCCGTAAGGAAGAGGTCGCAGGACGAACAATCTAAGAAGGAGAAAGCGGCTTTGTGAGTGCAGGTGCAGTGATTCTGTAAAATCATGTGGGTTGTTATATCTAAAATGATTGTTTATGCAGCTTTTGTTTTTGTCCTTAAACTCTCTCCATTTTAGAAACCAGAAGGCGCAAGAATCAGTGGTAGAGGCCCAGCCAGCAGAACTGCAAACGAGTCTAAAGACAGTTGTCGAAGAGACTGAAGGTACTATCTGTCTGTCTACGTAAAGCAGCCTAGATTCACAAAGGCCCACAGATCCAGTAGAATTCAGCACTGTTTTTAATGCATCCATTAATTCCCTTTGTAGAACAGTCTAATACAACCAGTCCTGGACATCCTGGCGTAATCAAACAGGAAGGTGAGACATTTGTATTACATGCTGTTGTTTCTTAGATCAAAAAAAATTCTATGACTCAGTTAGACGAAATATGCCCTTTGTCATTAAGATACAAACACCAGGCCAGTTTGTGTATGTGTGTTACATTTCTCTCCAGTAGTTTGCCGTCAAAAGTAATTAGTGTGGACAAGAATTAGAACTCTTCCTCATATCTGTTTCAAAATAAGTAAAGGTTCACATATTATACTGGACATTTTCACACTCTGGCCACATTTTTTCATTCAAATCCCACTTACCTTTTGGTTTTCACAAACTATACAATATATAAGTTCCTTAAAAGCAGCATTAAACTGAAAAAAACATTTTCCCTCTGTCTTTAACACTCTCCATCTCCTTCTCCCCTGTGTGTTGCTCAAGCTGTGGTTCTACCTGATCATTGGGAGTTAGGTTATCCAGATGGCCCGGAGATGAATGACTATAAACTGCAACTGCAACAGTTTGTGACCCAATGGGAGCAAATGCAGTCCGCTTTAACTGTTGCCCACTCAGAACTAGAGATTGGGGGCAAAAGCCCAGAGGACCTGCTTCAAGAGATAGTCCTTCAGATAGAGAGTAAGTGGAACCGTATCAGTCATAGTCTTGGATTGGGATGACCAATCAGGTTTCAAGTAAATATATGTAACCCCAAAATTAGTAAAGTACTCATGACAAATGTTTCTGAATTGACAATAGAGTTTTAATGATTGCTGAGATTCTACCACATGCCATGTTTGGTAAGAAAAACGTTTAACTCAATCTGGTTTAACTGCATTATCTTCAGAACCCTTTAATTATGTGTCCTGGGAGCTGTCAGCAATAGACCTGGAAGAGGAGTCAGAAGATATCGAGGCCTTAACTGAGCTGGAGAGAGCTGAGGAAGGCAGCAGTGACAATGACACAGCAGAGGAGGAGGAGGATGAAGTCAGTAAACAAAGTATTCTTCTTTTAATCTAAGTTAACCAGTCAATTACCTTTTTGACTTAAACTACAGGGTTATAATCCTATTTATGATTGGAGAGACTAAGGTACAGGCCTGTTTTACTGCTTTGTTGACAAACAACAATATAAAAAAAAACAGCATCTCCTTCCTTCCTTCCTTCCTTCCTTCCTTCCTTCCTTCCCTGAATGACAGCAGGGGGACACAACATCCAAGAGATTATTTGGCGATACCCATCATTTCTGCCCTGTGGCCCTAAAACACCACAACGTCCTCTTGCCCTGTATGGACGAAATTGCAGCCAAGTACCGCGAGAAGACCTTCTGCTTCTCCAGCGTCAAAGCTAGGGACTCCTTCCTTGAAAACCCTGCACACTTTGTCGCACAGACTGGGCCTCTCAAGGTATAAGCTGGCACAAGAATAGAAAGAAAAAGCCATAGTAAGATAACAAAAATCCCTAACAAGTTTCTTATCTTCTTCTGTCCAAGCCTCCTGCCTTGCGGATCTTTTTGCTTGGCACCAGAGGGTCAGGCAAGACCACGCATGGTGAGTGGCTCAGCCAGAAGTTTGGCATCTTCCATATTCAGTTCAGGGAGCAACTCCAAATGCTCATCATGGCCAAAACAAAGGAGCGGGTTCCTTATGCTGACGAGGGTGAGTCTTCAGAGGAGTCTGAGGACTTGGAGGCCCTGATAAAGGAAGCTAGGGGGGAGGACGAGGAAGAGACGGAGGACACCTCTGACAACACGAATGACATAGAGGTCATCTTCGATAAACTTTTTCTGTGGCAAAACTTCCAGCATTATGGTGCCTGGCAATGAATTATAGTGTATTTGTTCTTGTGTGTCCACAGCAGGAAGTGGTACTGACTGATGAGGAAAATGCCATCAAAGCCTACCTGTCTGATGGAGAACCCCTCAGTCCACACATCCTGGATATGGTTATTAGACCGTACTGGAAACAGGAACCATACAAGTATTTGTACACACACACACAAACACACACTTCCTGCCCCCCCTTCTACCCTACTTATCAGAAAATATTTGCTTGTTTTCACAAAAACAAAAGTGTAAAAACGTCAAAACCCTGTTTTCTCAAACTGTCAAAAATGTTCTTTTCCTACATTATTTATAAATGCCTTATTTTTGTGAATGTATATACATTGCGACCCTAAAATACTCCTCGTAGGTCTACGGGTTTTATTTTGGAGGGCTTCCCTAACAATCCCGATGAGGTAAACTACATGTCGCAGCAACAGCTTTTTCCCGACCTTGTGGTAATCATGGCGGTGGAAGTCTCGGATGTTCAGAAGCGTCTGTTGCCTGCATACCTGGAGAAATGGCGTGAGCAGCGCAACCGGCGTGAAGCACAGCTGACCCTCCTTCGTGATATACGCAAGAAGAACCGGGTAAACATGTGACAAATTGGTAGAATTATTTTCCTGCCAACTTTATTATCATGCCTTATTTCTACTGTCCGTCCTGACAATGACTGTAGATTGTGTGAGTATGTGGCACAGTTCTATTTCTATTTCTTTGGTACAGGAGGAGAACATTGCCAAGAGAAGAGCTGAACTCATGGCAGAGCAAGGCGATAAGGCAGACCAAACAAAGGTAAGCAAACCCATCATAACCACTGTCTTAACCCACTTAACTTTCCCCCTAACCCCAATCCCCTAACGGATCAGACCGGGGATCATGAGGATGAAGAAGATGATGAAGAGGATGAAGCTGCAGGCAACATTGAGGAAGAGGTAGAGGCCATGCTGGAGGAGGAGTTTCCTTCAGAAGAGGATAATGAATATGCGGACAATGAGGAGACTGAGGAGGCAGCGTCTGAGAGGCTGGAGATGGAGATAGAAGAACGTTTTGGGACAGATGAAACCAACTTAACTACTCTGACGGTAAAAAGACAACTAGCCAGATATGCATATTAGCTTCCCTCACCCATATCATTCTGCTATCATTTATAGATACTTCATTGATTGATTAATTTACATTCTGATTTCAAGAACACATCATTTGCTCAAACGTTCTGCTTTCAGGAGCTCCTGACTGAACAAAACATACCAAAAATGTCAATCAGTGCATCTCGCAAGATCCGGATGGTGCAGCATCAGTTGCTCCAGAAAATCCAGCCCCTGCTGTCCAACAGGGAGTCACTCTTCCAAAAATGCCAGCCCGTCTCATACAGCCTGGCACTTAAGCTGCTGCTCTCCTCTTACAAGCTCCAAAGTGCCTTTGGCTGCTGGGACCCCATAAAGGTAGGCATATTTAAGGTTGGTTTTTTTTTTTGCATCTGTGGGATGAGGCCATGGTTTCTGTCATTAATAAAAGTTATTTTGAGAACTCTAACTTATTCTTTTACACGCCCCCTTCTGCAGCAATACAAAGAGAGAGATTTGATCCAGCCTCTGCAGTGGCCTCTCAATACCACATTTCCTCTCATCTTCCATCAGTATATCTACTTCTTTGCATCAAAGGAGAACCGCAACACATTTATGCTGAACCCCTTGAAGTACCTTAGACAGCCAAAGCCCACCCCATGCCTTCCTGTTAAAATGGCTGTTGTTGGACCACCTAAATCAGGAAAAACGACAAGTAAGACTCAAGACAGCTGGAAAATGATCCACCCAAAGTTGTTTCTTTTGCACTTTTCTCAAAAACTCACACACTTCCTCTCACTTTGCTTTATCTCTCCAGTGGCACAGATGTTTGCTCAGAAATATGGCCTGGCCCGGCTGTCCATCGGCAGTGTTGTACGTATGGTGCTTAGCACCCAGGAGCACACTGATCTAGCTGTCCACATAAAAAAGCATCTCTCCCAGGGAAACATTGTGCCTGATGAACTGGCCATTCAGTGTCTAGAGGTGGCGCTTATGAGTTCAGTATGCAGCACTCGAGGGTAGGCGTGATCCATTTAAAGTTGTTGATGTTTAAAGAAGAAGACTATCCTCTATACTCTAGACTATTACTTATGACTGTCTGCACATGTTTTTATTCCTGCTTGAGGTTGTTTGTGAAGACAGTATTTACTTGTTTGGCGTTCCAGGTATGTGTTGGATGGCTTTCCTCAGACACTTAAGCAGGCAGAGTTGATGGGGTCTCGGAGCATCATCCCAATGATAGTAGCTGAGCTGGAGCTGGACACAGTGGAGGTGCTGAAGAGAGGCCTTGTGGACAAGATGAAGATCAACAAGTCAGAGAACACACATTAATAGCAGCTATAAACACACATTTTCAGAGATCCTAAGTCTGAGAGCTCTTTAAAATCATAAATCCTAATAGTAATTGTAATAAGATGTCCTTCGACTGCAGGCCTCACCCTATGCACGACAGCTCCGAGATCCTCCACATTCGTAACTCATGTTACAAGCAGGAGGTGGAGCATGTGAGGCAACACTTCCAGCAACAATATCAGAACTGGATCCAGCTCGATGGGTTAAAGAGCAAATGGTGGATCTGGAACAGCATTATAAAGGAGGTCAGCATCAGCATGAAATATATCCACAGCTACCTGGAGAGGATGGGCAGCAGTAAGTACTAAGCTTATCCAAGCATCAGCTCAGCAAGGTTCTTTACACCTAAAATAAAATATAATGCCAAATACTGTATGCATTGAAAACATTGAAAGCATTTAATTGACAAGGATGCATTTAATCTTTTTTCAGTTTCTTTCAACCTATTATTTATTTTTTGTAATGGCTTGTTTGTAGAAAACTTACTATTTAACTTACAAAGGTTATACAACTTACAAAGGAAACTCCAGGAATAAAACAAAAAGACAAATAAAAAGTTACTCTTAAGATGACAGGTATTACTCTTCCCCATGCATTTTAATTTTGCAGGGCAAGCAGCCTGCATCAACAGACTGTGCATCACACCCAAGGAGCTGCAGTATCGGCTTGGAGAGTTTGGCCAGTACTGTCCCGTCTGCCTGGCTCTACAGTACCACCTGGTGGACTGCTCTGAGACTGCAGTCTTAACTCATGCTGCTGAGCACAGGGGACGCTATTACAAGATGTGTGGCGAAGACCATTTAGAGGTCAGTGCACTGGAGCGACACAAAAGACACATGCACACAGTATGGAGAGGCCAGATGAAGCAGTTGTTGTTCTTTTCAGATAAATTCTGGGCATGATTGATATGATTTCATTATCCAATGGAAAAAAATAACGTTTTTATGTTGCTCTCTCAACCACAGCGGTTCCTGGTCACTCCAGATCAGTTTGTGACTCCTAGCTGCCCACGCACTCTCCCAGAACCCCACCTGCTGCCCAGAAAGATAACTGAGAGTCAGGTGAAGAAGAGGTTCCCACAGCAAGTCGAGATGAAAGGCTTCTGCCCGGTCACTTATCTGGATGGGAGGCGAAGGTACAATATTCACACTTATACAGTTAATTTCAAATCTAACTCTAACTCTGTCTCTCTTGCTTGAAGTAATATATTGTCCTTAAGTTCCAACTCAATAGACAAAGCTAATTCTGACACGTACATAATTTGTGTTGTCTTGAGAATACACAGACATGCCTAAGACCCCTCCAAAAAAACATGTATTTGTCCATAGGTATGAAGCTCTGGTTCGAGGAAAGATGGAATATGCTGTGGAATACAGAGAACGGATCTACATTTTTGAAACCAAGGAGAAACAGGCCAAGTTTTTGAGGTGTGAAGTCATGTTTCCTTTTTACAAGGTTTATTCTGTGGTGCATATTAGTATTTGAATATATTATTTATAGTATTTGAAGTGCTCTCTATACTTCTAATGAAGACATTATAGTGTTATTTGACCATGTTACAGTAAGTGGTGTTGATATATTTCAAGGATTCCTGAAGCCTACTGGGACCAGAAGCTGCCCAGTAAAGTTCCTCCTCTCTGTGAGCCTGTACCCCTCACTTCCCTTCCAACGTTGGGCTACCTGGAACAGGTCAGACACCAAACACACATCCCAGTATTCTGTAATAATGATGTCTGCAGCTGATTTTTTAACATCAACGGTTGACATATATAAGTTTCTTTGACATCTGCCCTGCTTTAAGTTAAACCTGTATTTTTTTTAGGGTGTGGCAGTAGCAGTCATCAAGGCCATGACAGCTGTTGGGTGTCTCAAACCAAAGTATCCCTTCCTCAGTATACAAAGATCAGCACTTCTCTATGTGGCCTTCTATCTGAAAGGTAAGCAAGAGGTCAAGATTACCTTGATAATAATAAAATAAAATCATGCACAAATTGCTTAAACTTAATGATGATGGTAAGGGTATGAAGTACTGTTTTGTTTATCTACTTACTCTTGCTTTAGTCCAATTTTTTATCCAACTAATGAATTAAATGTCATATTTTTACAGCTTTCAACCACAAGAGCACGGACTACACCAGCCAGAAGTACAAAAAGAAACTTGCCTTGTTTGAAGAGAACTGTGCACTCATTCCATACCTGACCTCAACAATGAGAGGGAACTACAGGCCTCCCAGTGAACGTCCCATTGACTTTGAGTTCAAACTGAATAGGTTCCTGGCTTTGGGAGACTCGCCAGGAGCCAGCAGTGTGCTTTAGTTGACCCTGTTTTGAAAAACCTTGACTGCTGGTAGTTTATGTTGTGTGAAGAACTGTGTGACAGCAAAGGGATTTTAAAGTAAGCTGCTGTAAGAGTGTAATAAAGCATCCTTCACGATTTGTTTTACTTATCCATAAAAACGCATTGTCAACAATGAATCTCCTTTTTCTTTTTCTTTTTATGCAGCTTATCTGCATAGAGAAAAATTCATACTTATTACTAACAACTATTATTTTAAACACCAAAAAATCTAAATTATAGTGAAGCGAGCAGCAAAGTTCTTGAACATTAAAGACTTATCTTGGGGAAAATACATGCAGATCTTAGTCAAGGGGAAGAGGCCTCAGAGGGAAGTGCTCAAATTATACCACAATGTTTATACCTCAGTGGGATGCTGTAAGTCTGCCTGCAAATCACCAAGACTTGAAAGGATATATCATTACATTAAAAGCAAAACCAGATGTTATATGAATGCATGAGACATGATCAAACCAGTTCTAGATTTTATTATTAAAGGATATTTTAGCATACGCAAAGATGGAACCAGTGGATTTACAAGAGTTCGAATTCATAGTTTTCAAAGTATGGACCAAAGAAGGAAGTATAAAAAAAAATACATTTCTATAACACATGCAAACAATTAGAGAAAGAGAAAGCATTTTGGAACACTAGAGAGGGAAAGTAATCCGGGGTGGGGAGTTTAGAGCACACACTACAGTAGAGGGGATCATAAAGATTTAAGTTAGTGTGTTTAAATGATGTTTGATGTTGGTAGAGTAGAAACAAGGGGGTAATACAAGTACAAAGTTAGTTCCACATTGGACACAAGAATGAACTAAAGCAAAACAAAGTTGAAATAAGGCTTCCATAGCATTGACAAGAACTCTGTTTTCAAAATTATATTAAATATTTAAAAAAAGCAGGCAGTAGTAAGGAAAATAATAAAGAGGACTGGAAGAGAGTCGGCCTATTGGAGGAAATATTGTCATTCTTTAGGTAGAAAAGCACCATTACAGAGAGTAAAGTGTATGATCAAAATAATGTCTGGTAATAGGGATATATAGATAATAAGAACAATTATTCGCTAAGACCTTTGTTAAAGTGCATAATGTAAATAAAACGGAGTAATGAGGAAAAGAGAGAGAGAGAGAGAAGAAACATAAACACTGCAGGATGAAAAAGATAACTTCAAGGAAAGATCAAACAAGCTGTTGAATAATCTTAGTGACTGGAATAAAGAAGAGATTTGTTCCCATCAGTAAACCAGGTAAAGACCCAAGCTTGACAGAGAGTTATAGACCAATAGCTTCTTCTTTTATATATTTAAAAAATATATTATTGAAAGGTTGGTTTATTATTTAGAAATAAAAGAAGAATTTAAATGTTATCATTATGGGATTTAGGACAGGGAGAAGAACTAAATACCCTGCTCTGTTTCTATAACTCGAAATAAGGAAAGATAATGATAACAACAAAAAGAGTATAGTGGCTGCATTTTATTTATTTATTATTTATTATACAAATACAAAGAGGGAAAAAGAAGCAAAATGTATAGAAATATTACACTTTTTTTCTTTTTAACTGACAGAAAAAGATTTACAGAAAACACAGAATTAATGTAATAATAAAAAAAGGTGGCAGTAAAGCACTTAAAACACCTTTCCCGACCGTCAGTAAACAACCGAAGAAAAAGCTTACGATCTCGTACTTTCACGCGAGACTTCCCAGGGACGCGGGATAAGACGGTTGGTGGTCCTCCCATCAGCTGAGTCCTGCGCCGCCGCCGCCGCCGCCAACTCGGTAAGCAGTCCCTCTTATAACCTCTCATATCACTTCGTGCGGTCTCTTACAACGACGCAAAGCTGCCCGCAACGTACTCAAACTGCTGCTTGGCGAGAATTTGCCCCGTTTACCTTCATCTCCAGCGTGTTAGCATCAGTTAGCCACCTAACTAATGCTAACTTCATGTGACTTTTGCCAACGTCAAATTAAAAATAGAAATAAAACAAAAAAAAGGGGGGTCACTGTTTTCTGCCACTGTTCTGAAAAGTCGGTTGAAGAGTAGCGAGTTAATAAAGTTAAGTTAATGTGTGTGTGTGTGTGTGTGTGTGGTGTGGGGGGGGGGGGGGGGGGGGTGGGGGGGGGGGTGTGTTTTTCTCTTTCCTCTTTCTCTTTCAGTTTCGTTTCTCCCCCCACACCCCAAAAAAAAAAAAAAAGTAGGTGTCCAAGATGTCGAAAAGAAAAAGCAGCTCCGCCAGTGACAAGCCCCACAAACGGGCCAAACCGGTGGAGGAGGAAGACATGGAAGATGCTGATGTTTCTGATGGTGACCAGAATGATACTGCACTGAGTAAACAGGTGTGCACTGTGGATCTAGAGGAAGTGTTTATGGGATGGCAAGAGGGTGACGTGGAGCAGAGATATGCTGATTTAATAGCAGAAATCATCCATAACTCACTGTACACCTTTCTAGCCTCATTCACTTATTCACACCCATTCATAAAATCACAAACAGAAACTAGTTCGTTTAAACTCCGATGCACAGCATTGGGAGCAATTTGGGGTGCAGATTGCAGCCGCAGGAGCCGGGGATCGAACCGCCAACCTTCTGATTAGTGGATGGCATTTAAATTAAATTTTATTTTTTTAATGAATCTGAAGTAATGTGTCAAATTTGTCCAGGTAGTTGTTCTTCTACATCCTTCTCCTGCTGTCATCCTGTAAAACATCTTACAGTTTTTTGTTCCTGCAGAAAAACTATCTCTGATTCTCTGAGATTGTTCGAAAATGATCAGCTCAAGTCGATATGTTACGTTTGCGTCATATGTGAAGCGTGTATTGGTGAGAAGTGACATACATAACTTTGTGTTTAGGTGCAGTCCACTGGTGATGTGGTGAGTGACGCCGGGATTGTGGAGAGCATCACGCTGAAGAACTTCATGTGCCACTCTCACCTCGGCCCGTTCAGTTTTGGTTCCAATGTCAACTTTGTTGTCGGCAACAATGGAAGTGAGTGTAACCATTTAACTTTAAGTTATTAAGTATCTTTTGAACTGAAATTAAGTTGTTTCTCATTCCAGTTTTCATGAGTGTCTGTGTTTGTTACTATGGCAACTGATGCCCTAAGCTTACCCTAAAGCTGTTGTAATGAAGGTTAATGTTATAGTCTCTTGGCACAGGCTAAATAAAGTTAAAACTGTAACGTCTCCATTTTCTAACAGCCACTACCCAAAAAGTATCTACATAGACAACTCTTAAGAAATAAATAACCATTTGCATATTAAATAAATGTTGTATTTTGGAAATATAGCAGGGCTGAGGGTCTGCTGGTCTGTATGTATTATGAAATGATGGTGGGGTGGGGATGCATACCAGAGTGGGCCGCTCACGTAGAGCCTCTATATGGGAAACAGTGCACATTAACCTGGCATACATTCTGTTCTTTTGTGTCTGTCCTATCTTCCGTTTAGTTCTTTTGTGTATTACAGTGTCTGTTTTTCTTTTCTGTGTACAAATTACTTGTGTGACAGGTGGAAAGAGTGCCGTTCTGACAGCTCTCATAGTTGCCTTAGGCGGGAATGCACAGGCCACAAATAGAGGCTCATCCCTCAAGGGTTTTGTGAAAGAAGGAGAAAGGTAAACCTTGCATCACATCGTCTGATGTACATTCTTTTGTGTCTCTTTCTGAGATGGGTGGTAGTTGCCAGTCAGGTTGGACAGAATTGTTTGACATTCTCCTCTTAACCCCACTCGGCTGCGTGTGTGTGTGTGTGTGTGTGTGTGTGTGTGTGTGTGTGTGTGTGTGTGTGTGAGAGACACGTAAATGTAACTTTTATTAAAAATTATATCACTTGACTCTCAATAGATTTAATTTGTGTTACTCTGTCTCCTCAGCTCAGCTGACGTATCGATCACCCTGCGCAACAAAGGAAGAGACGCTTACAAACCTGAGGTCTATGGTCAAGCCATCATTGTAGACTTGAGAATAACACGCGATGGATTGAGAACCTATAAACTGAGGAGCAAGTCAGGTAAAGAATGTGGAGAATTATGGATTATTATACTACATTATAATTATTATCATACTACAGTATTATGGTGCGAGACTACTGCTACATTGTGCTACTGTATCATATTCAAGTAGTCATTTTAAATTATTAATCATTAGGCTATGATCTTAAAAGCTAAAGTGCAGAGTACAAATATGGTCACTAAAAGCTGAAATGAAAGCTGTAACAATGTGTATGTCAATCATTAGAAAATCAATTAAAAACAAATGAGCAGGTTGATCAATATTGATTATACAATGATAAAAGTATCTCTATTCACAAGTCAAAATGTCAAAAAGAGAGCAAGAGTGAAAATTAAAAGGATTAAGACACAGTTTTGCAATAGAAGTACACAAATGACCACTTCCTGTAGCAGCTGGAATAATTACATGACCATTAAGGATTTATTCTTCTCCTTTTTATAGGTCAACTTGTCTCAAACAAAAAGGAAGAGCTACTAGCCATCTTGGACAATTTTAATATACAGGTTAGTGCTTTAAAAATTTTACGCAGTACAATGTTTTCAACTTTGATACAACAAAATTAAATCCTGTGGGATGAACCTACTTCAGTTAGTTTCCACAGGACTTCAGTCAGTTACTGTGTTGGTGACAGAGGGTCAGTAGTAACTTGTTTTCTTCCAAAGGTCAATAATCCTGTGTCAGTTCTTACTCAAGAGATGAGCAAATACTTCCTACATTCCAAAGGAGAGGGGGACAAATATAAGGTAATTTATAAATAAATTAATTTTTTAATGTAAATCTTTTATCTGTTGTTTTTGTGGACTTTGAATTAATCAGATTGTTTTGGTTACTCATTTATTTATTCATCTTTTTTTTTCATTCCTCTTGCAGTTTTTTATGAAAGCTACCCAACTGGAGCAGATGAGAGAGGACTTTGTCTACATCAAAACCACCAAACATGTCACAGAGGATAAAGTTGGACAACATAGTGAAGTAAGAATTAGTCCTCCTGACATGTTCATTTTTTTAAGTAGCTATAACCGACATTTTACAGTAGCACAGTAACGTATGTGAAAGGGTTCGTTCGTATTGATGAACCTACAGAGAGGCCCAAATTTGCTGCTTCGCTCTGTGTCACTGGGCCAT